CAAACACATCAACAACCACAACAACCCGCAGTGCATAGGCTGGACAAAGCCAAACAGGTGGGTCCTGGAACGAGTGATCACTCCACACGCATGGTGGAAGAAGAGAATGATCGAGGAGGTCAATAGCACATTGTCCAAGACACGACTCGTGCTCACAGACCCAAAGAGTCTGCGCATACCAGACACCGTCATCACTGGATACATTGAGTGCGTGAGCGACTCAAAGATGATTGGCCAATTCAGGTTCATCGACAATGTGGACGCCATCACCAAGTTTGAGGGCATGCGCTTCATGCGCGCCAAGGCCAACGCCTGTCCGTTCACCGGCGAGGTTGTCGGCTACTTCAACTTCACGCTGTTCCCACTGCGACAGGCCAAGGACAGCCGCATCGCCGATGAGCAGGATCGTGAGGCCGTCACCGAGTTCCTCAGCACACTCACATACCAGTCGCGTGGCGTCGTCGCCAACCTCGACAACCAAATGATGGCCTACAGCGCGCTACAAGAGCGATGTCGCCTTGACAAGGTGTTTGGCGAGTACGGCATGGACGATGGCGACTGTCTGCTCGACACCGATGTCAACAGTCCCTACATCGTGTCTCTGATCGAGACGATCCAAAAGTCACTGGATCAGATGGGCATTGGCTTCAACGCCGTGGAGGGCGGTTGCAAAGTGCGCTTCGCTCGCCAGACCAGCCACAACCCGATCCGTAGCAGTGGATACCTGCCAGAGAGCCATATGAAGCAAGAGATCGCTCTTTGGATTTACAACTCAATCATACTCGATAAGACCAAGTTGTGGGGAGCCAAACTGATCGTTGATGAGGATGATTCCTAACTGGCCTGTATCGGTGGACTCTTGGCTGTCGGCAGTATGAGTGGACATCGCCGTGGAGGCTATGTTCATTTCTGTCGGCAACAATAAACTGATTAATTGATTGATTGATTGATTGATTCGAGGATATTACATGGGCTGGGCTTGTGGGCCGCATTGTTTATTCATTCGATCACTCGCGCTATCTACTGTCCCTCACTCTGATCATTCGATCCAAGTCCAATGTCCAGGGATGGGTCAGCTGAGAGACCATCCAAATAGTCTCCAAGCTACTAATGTCGACTTTGAATGAGTCGTCCTCGTTGTGTTTGTTGTTGAAGGGCTTGGCCGCCACTCACTCATTCAATGCATCCATTACTTATTACTTGAGGCGGCAGGCTTAAAGTTCTTAAGGAAAGATAGCTCGGCTCCAAACTTCTTGCTCTCATTCCTTCTGATGACTACGTACTTCTTGATCTGATCATTCCAATGTGGCAGTGGCGTAGACTGGGGTGCTTGCGTGATCCATGGATGCTCCAGGGCCATCTTGGCAGAGTAACGCTTGGCAGGGTCGACGGTGAGGAAGCAGTTGATAAAGTGTTTGGCCTCCTTTGAGATGTTCTTCCAGTATTGCTCAGGGAAGTCATAGCTCGCGGCGAGGATCGACTCGAACAGTTTCCTAATGTCGTCGCAGTAGAAGGGAGGGAAGCCGCACAGCAGGATGTAGGCGATCACACCCACAGACCACATGTCGACGGCCTCAGAGTAGGCGTTGGGCGCAGCGTTGATGTTCTTGAGCACCTCGGGCGCCACGTACGAAGGTGTTCCACATGTCGTCTTCATGAATGTGTCATCGCCCAGTATCTTTGACAGACCAAAGTCAGACAGAGTGATGGTGAGGTCCTCCTCAGACTTTAGCAACAGGTTCTCTGGTTTGAGATCTCTATGTACGATGCCAATCTTATGTATATACTCCAATGCCTCCAACAACTGCTTTACAATCACTCTTGCCTCCTTCTCAGAAAATGACTTCTTCACCATAATCTTATCAAACAGTTGACCTCCTTCGACCAACTCTACAACCAAGTATATCTTATCAACTGATTCCCAATACTCATGCATCTTTACAATATCTATAAATGATATGTTTGATTGATTGATTAGTATGAGTATGATTGATTGAATGATTGATTGAATGATTGTTTGAATGAACATTACTTACTTGGATGATCAACCTTCTTCATGATCTCAATCTCTGTTTGAAGTGCTGATGTTGTTGATGCCTTCTTATCAATGACCTTCATAGCCCATTGTATCTTTGTCTTCTTCTCAGTCACCAAGAATACAACAGAGAATGCACCTCTTCCCAACTCTTTATGTACATCATAATCTAACAATGGCATGTTTGTTATATATATTATCTGTATTTAATGTATTAGTATAAGTATATAAGTATAAAAGTATATAAGTATTAGTATAAGATAAATCTAAAATGAGGCCCTACTACTTCCCAAACAAAGTTGGACCAAGACCCTTACCAACACTCTAACTGTAACCCAGATCAGATGCAAAGATTTATGTTTGTGTGGGTCGTCCCCCATCAATCACCCAACCCCACTTTGATCTTTTAGGTGTGAGGGGAAACGATCATTGGTGCTAAACACAAACAAACACACAGTGGACTCAACCCTGAACAAGTTCTAAAAGAAGGGGTCAACAACTGATGATGCCCTAAATAGTAAAGTGTATTTGGTATGACTTTGAATAGATTCACGATTGTCCACATCTGGTCATGATTGATCAATCAACCAATCAATCACACCGTGTAATTGATAATGACAGTGTGTTGTAGTCTGAGGTTGTTCTTGTAGATGTAGAGTAAACAGATGGCATGTTGATCATCTAATCTCCTGGCTGTAGCATAGTATGTCAAGTGAATTGTTTGAACATTGATTTGAACAAATAATGATTTGATGAATTCAATAAGACCATGACCGAAACTATAATGTCTAGCTTTCTTTTGATACTTCTTATATGTTTTGGTACCATCATAAACATCAATACTGATTGAATCCACTTGACATGTTATCTTTGATGTAATCTGTTTATACTTTGCTTCCGATTGATCAATACCAGTTATACAATATAATGAATTGAAAGATCTATTACCAGATATTGTTATTGTACCAATATGTGTAGAAGGATCAGTTTGATCAATCATAAATAACTGTCCATAAGTTTGAAATGATAGAGTATTGAGTGACTTTGGAATTGATACCTTCATAGGTTCGACAGATGGTTGGTAAATATTTTTACTTCCAATTGACAATGATTTGAGTGATGATGGTAAAACTCCTGGTCCAATTGAATTTTGATACCCATTACCTAGTTGAAGAGTATTTAATGACTCTGAGAATGTACCAGGTTCCAAGACCTGATTGAATTGTGGATATGAATAATTATGAGTCTCTCCAGTGAATATTAAAGATTGAAGACTTGATGGCATGGGGACGGGAAGAGGTTGGTTGAAATTTGCTCCAAAGATGAGGCTTGTGAGGGTGTCGGGGAGATCACCAACTTCCAACTTTTTGCTGAATTCATCGCCAAAGGTGAGATATCGGAGATTGCTGGGAAGGACGGGATGTTTCAAATCTTGATTGAAATTCCTTCCAAAGGTCAATGAAGTCAAAGTCGGAGGGAGTGCACCAGGTTCTATTATATGATTGAAATATGATTGAAATGATAAGTTTATCAATGATCTTGGTAATAAATTGTTGTTCAATGTAATAGCCTGATTAAAATGGAATGGTAACCATAATGATGTAATATTCTCTGGAATATTAGGATGTACAAGTTGGTTATACTCATATCCATATACTAATTCTGTTGCTAATGGTGTTGCCAACTTTGTCTTTGCAACTTCTAAATCATAATTATCTTCTCTACCCATGAATATTCTTATACTAGTTGTATCATATTTATGTTGAGGATATTTCTTTTCTTCTGGATACAATATTTTCTGATTGACACTTGACTTGATCTTTAATAAAAGTGCATAATGTCTCTTATTTGATAATGCAAGACATATTATATCGATTGGTTCAATATATTGGAATACTCTCTCTATTACCTTATCAGGTATATTTGATCTAATTGTTGAATCGACCAACCATTCATTGTGATCATTGATACTTGTTTCTACTTTTTCCACTTTTGTTGTCTTGACAACTTCTACGCTTTGTTTTTGGAGCAATGGGAAGAGATACTCTAATATTCGTATACTTTCTAGAATGTACACCACAAAGATATAAAGTTTTGTTATCTGGTTGAGTAGTTACACTATATAATGCACTTGAACTACACTTCTTTGAAGGATTCATACATTTCTCTTGCCCATAATATATAATAATTACATTATTATTATTGTTATTATTATTGTTATTATTATTATTATTATCTTTTGATTCCATTTGTTTATATTTGAAAATATTATTATTAAAGCTCAAGTGACAAAACTGATAATATCTGTCAAGTTATAATTAATTAACCAACAATAAATATAATTCCAATAACAAGTTACTCAAACTGAGAGTACTATTTCAAAGTACAACCAATGACTAATAATGATAAAATAGAAGTTCCACTAGAACTTAAGAGTGTGATCAGTGTTTATCTCTTGCCTTATCAAGAGTGGTCCAAAAGTAATCGGAAGAGGGAAATCCCTCAACTTTGTTTGAGCCCAAAGACATTTTCGCACAGATACCCCCTCACATACTCTCATCGATCGACTCACAAACCACTCCCATCGATCACTCTCCCTCACCTCCTCTAATTGCTATCTCTGCTCCACGAGAATCAATAGGAGCATCATCAAGTGCTCTGTGGCTTGTTTCAATACCACCAAGGTACTCACTAACACTTGTATAGCTATTATACTTACTATATACATATATACACACATATAACATTATATATATATATATATAATAGATATCAAAGATGACAGTCACCGAATATCCACCTGTGTTTGTGTAAGATATATCATTGAATGATTGATTGAATGAATGAATGAATGAATGAATGAATGAATGAATGAAGAGACTGACCTCCTATGTTTAGCACAATGTGGATAGTGGCAGGAGTGGCCTCATTACTAAGTATACTGTTATCATTCTATCTGATCTATAAACATCTGCGAAACTATACATGTGGAGAGTTACAAAAGTATATCATAAGGATATTGATAATGGTTCCTGTAAGCATTGACATTGATTGGTACTGGCATCATTGTGGGACATCATGGAAACTGACCATTCAATCAATCTAGATATACGCAACAGACAGTTGGCTGTCCCTAAGATTTATCAATCTTAGCCTTTACTTTGATCTTGTCAGAGATATGTAAGTGATCAACCAACAATCAATCAATCACTCGCCTTGGATCAATCAATCACTCAACTCACTCACTCTTATTCAATCAATCAATCAATCCAGCTATGAAGGATACGTATTGTACTGCTTCTTCTGTCTTATTGTAGCATATATAGAGAAGGAACATGATATTATTGAGTTGCTGCATTCAAAGGTGTCAATGCCTCATCCATGGCCAATGTGCTATTGTTTACCAAAGATCAAGCTTGGAAGACAGTTCTTGGTGAACTGCCGTCGATTCGTTCTACAGTTTGTATTCGTCAAGCCATTGGTTGCAATCATTGCCATCATACTACAGACCACCGATCACTTTGGCGAAGGCAAGTTCGTCCTGGACAAAGGATACCTCTGGGTGACACTAATAGAGAATATAAGTGTCAGTGTAAGTATAACAAGATTAGAGATTAGTAACCTTTTGGCATGCATGTCCACTGATCATCCACTCACTCACTCATTCATTCATTCATTCAAACTCTTAGCTGAGTCTTTACTATCTTGTCCTGTACTACCAATGCATGAGGCAAGAGTTGCAACCATTCAAACCATTTGGAAAGTTCTTATGCATCAAAGCAGTCATCTTCTTTGCCTTCTGGTATGTCCCAACATCCATTCATTCATCCATCGCGACTGGACACGCTCACTCACTCGCTCACTAACTAACTAACTCTTAACAGGCAAGGAGTAATACTATCACTGTTGGCCTATTTCCATGTTATTAGACCAATTGGAGATTGGACCATTAGTAATATATCATCGGCATTGCAAGACTTCCTCACATGTATAGAGATGCTTATCATTGCCATCTGTCATCACTTCTTCTTCTCCTACAAGGAGTTTAGAGATCCCAACAAAAGACCATTCCTATACGACTCTGAGACCAGAACATTCTTCAACAATGCTGGTGGCAGTATCGTACAGCTATGCAAGAACTTCTTCAAGGTCACCAGTGTGTCGGACGTCATCATGGATACAAAGTATGGTCATCCCAATCACGACCATCCATCCAATCAATCTGACTAACTTATCTCTTTCATTCATCCAGACAATCATTCATACTTCCATTGATCAAGTCAGAGGATTATCTCAAGACTGAAGAAGAGGCGAACTTACTAAAGATTGACCAAGGAGGTGGAGAAGAGATGTCTACATTGTAAGCCATCCATCCATCATTCAATCAACCAATCAACCTATCAATCAATAACTCAGACACTGATTCATTTCATTCGACCAATCAATCAATCATATCAAATCAATCAATCAATCAGTGAGGAGTTAGTATAAAATGTAAAGGATTGACCGTACTCGCGAGAGTATCGATCAACATAGTGTAGTAATCAAGACAAGTGTTTTGTGTACTCTTTATTGCTGGTCGCACAACAGGACACTGGACAGGTTACTTAACAATATGATGAACAAGTTGTTGGAATCGCTTTCTGTAACTTGCTGGATCGACAGCTGAGATTTGTGACTGGATGGATGATCATTATATATGAGTTAGTGGATGGACCTGATTGATTGACCAACATTGGGGAAACACTTACAGAGTCGTGCACTAAGGACTTAATCATGGCCTCATACTTCTTGCGGAAATCCCAGCTGGTGAATATGTCGATGATGGAGATGAAATAGACCTCCTTGCGGTCTGCCGACAGAATGCCACCGTAGTGTTGATGGAATATTGATGTCTTGCCAGACTTCTTCTTGAAGAAGCCTTCGCTGAGCACATCGATGATGTTCTGTGAGGATGTGTCGTCAGAGACCAGGGCGATCGGGGAGAACTCGTCGACGCGATGCACGCCAACCAGCAGACTGTAGTCGCAGATATTGTTGCTCTCCAGCAACTTGGTGTCGTGCTCGATCTGCTCCATCAGAGGCGCCTTGTACTCTGGCGCAATGTTGAGCTTCCTCTTAAAGTCGAGATCCTTGAGTGATACGTTCTCGAGTTTGGAAGATGATGATGAGGCGGACCCGCCGCCATCGCCATTGCGAGCCAAGTCCTCTTGCACCTGACGACCGATGGTCGAGCCTTTCAAGTCATACTTCTCATGGATGGGTAGTGGCGTGAAGAACAGGTTGTTCATCACAATGAACTTGAGCTCCTTGGCCTTGGTCATGCTGTAGCATCCAAGTGTCTTGGTCAACAGACTGTTTGGATACTTCTCAATATGCTTGATGTATGATGGCAGGAAGGACTTGAGGACAGCCTCCTCATAGCTGGGGATGGTCTTGATCAGATAGCGACCCTCATTGGAACGGAAGAACATGCTGCCACTCCTTCCACTGGACACAACCTCACACAGAACCGACAGGTTGCCCATCAACAGATTACCAAAGATCTTCTCTGGTCCCAGCGAGAACATATAATGCTTGGGATCAATCTCCTGTTTGTCCCTAATCTTCTTGAATACGAATGGTGCATGATCCTTGAATGTCCATCCGTTGCTACATGTTGGTGTTATGTTAGTCGTCTTCTCGCCATCAATTAATCCTTCTATCAATCGAACAACTTACAACTTAAACTCCACGCCCAGCTCAAAGTCCTTGGGCTTGATCTCTCTGCTTGGTAGTGTGATGCTCTCGCCAATGGCTCGCCTGATACCAATCATCATGTACTGCATCAGCTCGTAGTTCTCGTGACCAAGTGTGATCTCCTTGCCCTCGAAGCTCATCCATTTCGATGTCTGATTGGGATCGTCCTCTGTCTTGGTGTTGCCCTCCAACACAGGTTGCACAACGCCAAGACTCTGAACGTAGACTTGGTTCTTGGTGATGGCCTGTTTGTAATCGTCGTAGTAAATGCGTCCCTCCATGTTGAGCTCGTTTGTGTACTCCTCGCGGTACTTCAATGCGTTCTGCTGACTGGCAGCAGTCATGGCTGCCATAGCCAATGGGTTGAATGCTGGTGGCGGCAAGCTTTGGTATGTCTCGAAGCAGAAGCTACGCGTGCGCTCCTGAGTGCCTCTCATTGGTGATTGTGAATGTGAATGTGATGGTGATTGTGTTGGTGATGGTGATGGTAATGGTGATTGTGAAGTTGATGTTGATGTTGACGTTGTTGGTATGGGGCCTGAGCCTTGCGTGGTCGTGTTGTGATGATGATGGTGATGACTGTTGACAACCTCGTGACCAGTCATTGAGCCAACGGATGATGAGGGCGATGCAGTGCATGATGTGCCAGTGGTAGTGTTGTTGTTGTTCGAGGTGAATGATACGCATGACAAGTCCTCCTCTTCGTCTTGATGTGGATTGGTCATTATGCTGTTGTCGCCAATGGTCATGGTGGTCGTGGTGGTGGTTGGCAGTGAGGGTGGTGTGGCAGGTGAGCCGCCAAGGGAGCCGCGATGATTGCCAATCCTGCGATCGGTAACAATGACTGGCGAGGCAGTGCGTGATAGTTTGCCAGGCTGATAATAAGGCTCGGGTATCAGAATCTTCTTGCACACTATAGACTTGGGGAATATTGTACATATCAACATAGCTGGTACGCTGCCATTGATCTTTAGGTTGCCCAATGAGCGATGTATCGACTGCAATATCTGCAACAGCTCTGCCACTGTAATATATCCTCTTCGCGACCTATCCAACATTTCAAAGGCAACTGAGCAAGCGAGGAGGATATGATTAGTCGTTTGTGATCAATCATTCAATCAAACTATCGGGGATGATCACTTACATCGTATCTGCTCTTCGAATGATGAGTTCTGCATGAGTGAGACACCATGTAGGAAGTCCTTCAAGTCCATCTTGCCATCGTGATTGGAGTCGAATGCTTGGAACAAAGACTCGGCAAACTCTGTCGAGTCACTGATGAGTGATCCCAGACACTCTCCAAACTGCGTACGATTCAAACATCCATTCTGCTCCTTATCCAACTGATTGAATTGATTGTAAAGACTCTCAAGTCTCCTTCGATTGACTAAAGATCGCGGGTCAGTATCGTTGATCACATATCCACATTCACTGGCGTTCGTTCAAATACTTACTTGATTGTTTGTGTAATGATTGAGATACGTGGAGACGACTTGATGAGAGGAACTCCTCGACAGTGTCCGACTCTGCGTTGTGCTTCTCGTTCAGTTGTTTGGATATAATACATGACTCTGTTAGAGTGGCCTTCTTTTTACACTTTGGATGGACGCAGTATCCACAGATCTCGCACTGGAAGCCCTGGCGTCGCAGGCCCCAGAGGAAGTAGCCACAGAAGGAGCACCATGTTGGGCCCTTAAAGTCGCTTAGAACGAATATATGAGGATAGAAGTTGGCTAAATGATTGATTGTTAGTGATGTGTGATGTGTGATCACATGATGGTCGTGATGACGCATACCATGATTGACTTTGAGCTTCTCTGACTTCTCCTTTAGCTTCTCTTCGAGATGATCTTGTTGCAATCGTTTGAGCTCATCTGGACCAAGTGAGGACAGCTCTCGTGAGTCTGTGATTGATGAGTCTGTATGCATGATCTCGCCAAATGAACATTGTTCCTGATCCTCGGTGTCGTCGCCCAAGTCGTCATCATCGAATGGATTGGCATTGTTGACAAAGCCCGACAAGAAGAAGTACAAGTCCTTCTGGCCGGTCTTCTTGGCAGAGTCCAATGCGTTGCCAGTAGCCCCGCCCAGACTACAATCGGCACCATACTCCACGAGCAGTGCGACAATCTTCTTTTGTCGCCCAATGACTCCAAAGTAAAGAGGGGTCTCGCCGCGTGCATTCTGACTGTTGATGTCGGCCTTGTGCTCGACGAGGAATGTGACGCCCTGAACCGAGCCAAACAGCGCCGCCCTGTGAAGCGCAGTCTCACCGCGGATGGTCTTTGCATTGACAGGTGTGCCCTTGGCGATGAGCAACGAGAGCACGGCGCGGAACTTGACCGACTGCGTCTTGTCAAACTTGTGCTTGGAGAGGTAGTGCAGCGGCAGAGTGCCATCCTTGGAGATGGCCATGACGGCCGCGCGACCCTGCTCAATCAACAGCTGGCAGATCTCGAGACTGCCGGCGTAGGCAGCAAAGTGCAGGGGCGTCCAGCCCTGGTTGTCCTTGATGTTGACGTCGGCCTTCTTATCGAGCAGGTACTTGATAAGACATATATCCATCTTCTCGACGGCCAGATGGATGGGTCGCATGCCCGTGCGCTCGTCGGTCCACTCGACCCACTCGTCATCCTCGTACTCGAGCTCGAACGTCTTGCCCAACATCGTGATGGGGTCGACATGGTACAGCGTCTTGAACAGCGCGGCAATGCGACGTTGATTGCCCAGCTGGATCTTTGTGCGCGCATGGTCGTCCATGAATGAGACACGCGCAATGTTTGAAGGCAGCACCATGTTGTACTTGTACTTTTGCGAAGCCGATGCGGGCAACGTCGTGTCATGCTCGTCGGCGATGAACATCTTGTGTTTGGTGCGCTCGGTCAACTCGGCGATCTTGGCCATCTTCTTGGCGAGCTTTCTTGAACAGGTTGAGCAGGAACGACTCGGAGAACTGGGACAGGCCCGTCTTGGTCACCTTGTCCGAGTAGACCACCTGTATGATGCCCCAATGCTCGACGATCTCCTCCAACAGCGCTGCACCGGCTATCAAGTATCCATTGGCACTTGATCCGCCCTCGATTAACAGTATGATTCTAAACTTGTCGGCCCACCATATCGGGCCATTATATCTCTGAAGTACAAAGTTTGGTGTACAATACAATGTATCATCCAACGATGACCAGAACAAACCAGTTGCCCGCAGGTACTGGTGAGCATATAGTCATCTCTCTATCTCTATGTCTCTATATATCTCTCCTTTATCTTTGTTATCTCTTTCTTTATATGATAGTATTACTATAAGTTTGATGATTATTCATTCATTCGATGCTATATCTGTATTTGTATTTGTATATGTATATGTATATATTCAATCACTTTGCTCACTCATTCACATTCAATCAATCTCTGAGGAGTCAGCAAAGCAAACTTTAGAAAGTTGAGTCCAAGAGAGATGAGTCGGGTTGTGCGTGGGACTTGGCTTTGAAAGAGATGAAGGTGGTGGGGTCTGAAGTGAACGTGACTCCACCTTATCACTCATTCGTCAAAAAATATCCAGATATTTCAACCAACTACTCCACGTCAACTTTGATGATGGCCCCGATGTTGAAGATCAATCAAAGAGATAATTATAATTAAATCTCTAAAGATAAAAAGAAGTTATGTCATTAAAATTATTATTATTATTATGATTGAATATGGTTATTATCTGTTTAAAGAGATAATAATAATGATGATATTGATTGACAAGTAAGTACAACTTTGATCTTCGCATGTGACCGAATAACAGAGTGATCGAATGATTGTAGAGATTTCAATTGAAGTTCGACCACATTGAATAGTGTGTGTGTGTGTGTTTGAAAGTATCTGTCGACCTCTTTTCAACTTTGTTTCCAATTTGATTTGAATAAATATTTGTAGCCTTCCTAGAAAATTACAATTAATAAAACATAATTATAATTTAGATCAACAAATAGATCGGGGAGGGGGAAGATTATATTATCTTATGAGTTTTGAAACAATTTGATCATCAAGTCAGTCCTTCATTGACATCATCAATCATATAATTACTACTTCTTTAATTAACTCAATCAAATTTATATATAATATAAACAATGTCCACTACTCCATCAACAGTCATTAGGATCAAGCCTCATCATTACATCCATGTAAGTACTCAAACCTCAATCTCGTGAACTTTGACAAGAATCGATTCAAACTCATCACATGACATCATACTCATCCTTCAACTTTACTCAATCAATCATATTAAACATATATATTTAGGTATTGGATAATAATACGAATGTTACTCGTATTGAGGTTGGACCACAGACATTCACTCGCCTTGACCATGAGAAGGTACTCACTGCTACTCCACTGCCAATGATTCTCATCCCACCAAGAAACTATTGTATCATAGAGAACCCAGTGGTCACTGATAAGGCCGGCAAGCTGGAGCGCGACCAGTACCAGCAGCCCAAGCTGCGCCATGGAGACAAGGAGATCAGGTTCTCGCAGGAGCCATTCCCCCTGTACCCAGGCGAGGTCTTGCTCGCTGCCCCAGTGCCCCTCCAGATCGTCTTGGCCAACAACGCCCTGAGACTCAAGTGTCTGCGTGACTTTGTTGAGATTGCTGCCGACAAGAAGACTGAGGTCGTGCACGTTGCTGGTGACGAGTGGTTGTTTGAGGGTCCAGGTACCTACTACCCACGCATTGAGGTGCAGGTTCTCGAGGGAGTCAAGGCTGTCATCATCAAGGACAACCAGGCCCTGAAGCTGCGTGCTCGTCTCGTTACAAAGGATCGCAAGGGAGTCATCCGTCAGCCAAATGAGGAGTGGTTGGTCCGCGACTCTGGTGCCTACCTCCCAGGCGTCTACGAGGAGATCGTCGGTTTCGTCCAGTCCCTTGTGTTGACTGAGCGTGTTGGTTACCACCTGTTGGCCCTGCGCTCCTTCAAGGACACATTTGGCAAGCAGAGAAAGGCCGGTGAGGAGTGGATCATCACCATCAAGGACTGCGAGACCTACATCCCAGACGTCAACGAGAAGGTCGTCCGTGACATCAAGTCCATCACCCTGACCACCCGTCAGTACTGTCTTGTCGACTCCCCAGTCGACCCAGCCACCGGAAAGAACCGTCTCGGTCACCAAGAGATGCGTCACGGTGAGCGCACCTTCTTCCTCTTGCCAGGTGAGAACCTCGTCTCTGGCATCCAGAATGTTAACGTCCTCTCTGAGGATGAAGCCTTGCTGCTCACCTGCAAGGAGTCCTTTGGCGATGTCGTCGGCAAGGACAAGGTCAACCGTAAGCCAGGTGATCTTTGGATGATCTACGGACCATGTGACTACATCCCACCCATCCAAGTCGACATTGTCGAGCGTCGCAAGCGTATCCCACTTGACGTCAACGAGGGAATCTACGTCCGTGACACCAAGACTGGCAAGGTCCGCTCTGTCATTGGTACCTCATACATGTTGCTCCCCAACGAGGAGAGATGGCCAAAGCCCCTGTCTCCAATCGTCGAGGAGTTGCTCAGCAAGTCCGCCACCCGTGACGTCAACGAGGAGCACAACGAGGTTGAGCGTGACCCAACCCAGGTCGTCACCTACCGTGTGCCACACAAGGCTGCCGTCCAGATCTACGACTACCGCAAGAAGCAGGCACGTGTCATCTTTGGACCAGAGTTGGTCATGTTGGCCCCAGATGAGGAGTTCACCGTCCTCTCGCTCTCTGGCAAGATCCCAAAGAGACCAAACCACATCCGTTCCTTGGCCCTGTTCCTCGGACCAGACTTTATGACTGATCTCATCACCGTCGAGACTGCTGACCACGCCCGTCTCTCCCTGAAGCTCTCATACAACTGGGAGTTCCAGGTTGACCAGAAGAACCCATCCCGTCTGTTCGCCACACCAGACTTCACTGGAGATCTGTGCAAGGCCACCGGCTCCCTGGTTCGTGCTGCCGTCGCCTCGTCCACCTTTGACAACTTCCACAAGCACTCTGCCGAGATCATCCAGACTGCCGTGTTTGGCAAGAACTCTGATGGAGAGTCCAACAACCGCCTGGTGTTCGAGACCAACGGTCTGGTGATCACCAACATTGATGTTCAGTCTGTTGAACCAGTCGACCAGCGTACCCTCGACTCGCTGCAAAAGTCAGTCCAGCTGGCCATCGAGATTACCACCAAGTCCCAGGAGGCAACTGCCCGTCAAGAGGCTGAGCGTCTGGACCAGATGGCCAGAGGTGAGCTCGAGCGTCAAAAGATCGTCGATGAGGCTGAGGCCGAGAAGTCTCGCTCCAACCTAGTCCGTCTGCAGGCTCAGTCTGCCAGCGTTGAGTCCACCGGTCAGGCCATCGCCGAGGCCCGTGCCCGTGCAGAGGCTGCTCTGATCGCCACCGAGTCTGAGGTGAAGAAGGCCAAGCTGGAGTGCCAGGCTTCTGAGATTGAGGCCACCGCCGAGTTGGAGGAGGAGATCGCCAAGCAAGAGATGGAGCTCGAGCACATCAACCAGCTGAACGAGATGGAGATCTCCAAGGCAAGAGAGATGGCTACCATCGAGGTTGGCAAGTTCTCCAACCAGGTCTCTGCCCTCGGTACCGAGACCATCAAGGCCATCGCCCAGGCCGGTCCAGAGATGCAGGCCAAGTTGCTCTCGGGTCTCGGACTCAAGACCGTCTTGCTCACCGACGGTACCTCGCCCATCAACCTGTTCAACGCTGCCAACGGTCTCATTGGAGGTAACAGCGCATCGCCAGCCTTCTCTGGATTCTCTGATGAGGAGTAAACTACTACTTCATCGAGCTCGACGTCCATCCTGAGTTAGGAACCAATCCAAAAAAAACAACAACATCCTCACAGCATGAACCTAAACCATTCATGCTTTATTAATTAAACACAAAGTGTACATATTTTTTGTATTTGATTGACATGTCTTGCCCTGCCCTTGCCTTTACCCTTGAACTAACCTGGAATGAACCCTGAGAGATCATCACGCATTCATTGCTCAAAAAAACGAAGAAAAAAGGGTGTCATTTTGTTCATTCGTTCGTTTCGCTTGTTTGAAACAGATAATCAATCAATTGTGTTCTCTGTAATTGAACAGATACACATACATATTATATATAGAGATGATGAAGGAAAAGGAGAAACAATCATCATCGTCGACGGCGACAAAGTCTACAAAGTCTAAAGATGCTTCATCAACATCATCAACGTTGAAACGAAAGAAGACTGATGATACAGTATCATCAACAACAACGACAACAGCAACAGTTGCCAACACTACTACTGCTACCTCTACCGCCAGCACGAACAAGAAACAAAAGAATAGCACGACCTCTGTCAATGCCACCCCAGCACTACCAATCGACAATGCACCGACCTGGGACGGCACAACAGCAATCGAATCACTCACTGTTGGGGAGTTGATCGAATCTCTAAAAGGTATGTCAACAAGAGCATTGACATTGACTCATTGTCGTCTCGCCCGCGTCACTCGCTCACTCATTCATTCGCTCAATCACTTAGGCAAGCAAATCAATCTTAGAATACAGGTGGCGGAATACTTGTTGGAACATAGGATTGCAGGATTGTCAGAGAAGAGTGGACATCTGTTGATGTGGGCAATGGACGTTGTGTTGAAGACTTATAGTAATTATAGGAGCAGAGCTTTGGAGGGCGTGTCAGACCCGCTCTGCTATCAAGTGCGATACTGGTCGTTAATCAAGCGCATCATTGAGAAGATCGATGTTGCCTCCACCAACGTGCAACTGACGTCCGAGCACCTGGTCTCATTCCTCGAGTTCATATTCAACGCCATGTCCAACTTTGTCAAGTCGCCAGCGCCTCTGGCCGTGGCCACAGCGACATCGACTTCGGCTTCGGCCTCGACATCCAATGCGATGGATACAAATGGCGACGCGAACAGTGGCACCACATCATCAAGCAGCAGTAGCAACAACAAGAAGTTGAAGAAGTTCCAGGTGTCGTCTTCGCCACCCCCACCCCTGGCGCTGATACCACTGGCGTCGGACATCATAAAGCACGCACTGCCGCTGTTCCTCGCCGTGGACATCCTGCGTGAGATGCCCCTGTTCTTTGAAGCCATTCACCCGCTGCTCATTCACGCGATACGCAAGCACCAGCAAGACGAGCAGCTCATTGTCATCTTTGGCCTGGTGCGCCACCTTCTCGAATATCTCGTGCACCAAGTTCAGGTGCGCAGCAACTCCAGACATCTTCAAACGATCGTACTCAATCTGTTGCCATACCTGTTGACATACCGCCACTCAATCCAATGTTTGTTGGCACGCGCCAATACACAGACGGAACCAGCGGCAGCCACTGCGCACGGCCTGACCATAGGCTGCATCGACCAGCTTCTCCAATGGGCGCTGTTCCATCCAGACTCGCATTGGGCATCATACACGACCATCCTGTTCCAAGGCTGGATCGCCGAGGTCGAACAGCCCAAGACACCATCCAAGAAGTCAAAGGACAGCGGGTACTTGTCATCCTCGCAGTCAACCACGCCCACAGCCACATCACCAACATCATCATCCTTGAACTCGTCAACATCGGGAACATCAACAAAGGGCAAGGAGTCCTCAGCAGACTCCAATGCCGCATCAAGTTTGTTCCAGGGCCAGGCCATCCTGGATCGATTCCAACAGATCATCACAAACAAAGAGTCACTGTCGCCGGCCACGTATGATGATGCCCCACTCGAGAATGTTGTGTTGGGTTGCCTGCCACAGCTTCTCAGACTATTCGCCGTGCAGCTGAGCCAGTACGGCATTCGCCACATCACCGACTTTGCCAAGTATGACAACGACTCGACGCTGACCGAGCTCAAGAAGGTGCAGTTGCTAGAGTTTGCTTTCTTCCGCAAGCTGTTCCTCATGTTCCTCAGCGGCGGCTACTCTCCCAAGTTCAACCAGGCACTGATCAACAAACATCCATCGTCGTACTTTAGCGCAATGTCTGCGCTACTCGCCACGCTCTCTGACATGAACATCTTCTACCAGGACAATGACAATCAGATGCGCTTCCTCCAGCTCCAGCTCGAGGTGACCGTGCGCATCGTCTCGCAGCCCAAGGCGCCAGTCGAGCAAATGTCCGGCGCACTCCAACTCCTCGCCTCCTTTGCCAAGATCAGCCATGTCATCGTCGATCCACACCTCCACACAATCTTCCACAGTCTGCTATCTTCCCCGCAACAGGCACAGGGCACGACGTCGACTGTGCAGGCGCACTCAGACAACCTTCTCCACACACTCTTCGACACTTACCTGGCCATTCGTCAAAGTGACAACCTCATTGATAAGCTGAACAAGACGATCATCAGTGGCAAGCTGAGGTCGATGTGCATTGACAAGTTGACAAACAGACGCGTATTGGACAAGCTGGCCACGCACTTTGCCGCGCTGCCATTTGGTCAGGTGCCACTGATTTGGAACCAGTTCTTTGACGTGTGGCGCGACTACTTCTCACTTCAGATCAATGAAGGCGATGATATTCGAGACCCACTACTTATTGAGCGACTCACATGCTTCGCCTCCATCTGGTCCACATTCCTGGACAACATTCAAATGACAACATTCGTCACTCAGAAGTTGGAGAAGCAACTCGATCAGACATTCTCATTGATCGTTGACCCACTCCTAAACACCATCGCCAAGGCCAAGGGCAAGTCATCATCCTCATCCAAGTCATCGTCCAAGTCGTCCAAGTCCAAGGACACCCCATCCAAGTCGTCATCAAAGTCCAAGGATGTAGAGATTGACACTGGCATGGACTCTTCCAAGTATGTATACAATCAATCACTCACTCAAACATGTTCCATTACTAACCCTCGCCTCGCCTTGCCCTAACCTCCTCATCCTAGCTCCGCATTGATTCACAACATGTTGACGATATATAACAGTTACAGCCAGCTTCACTCGTTCGTGCACAGACTGTCGATCGCCAAGGATACTGAGGGCGCGAACAAGTACAACTACCATCGTCAACAATTCACATATTATCAAAGATACGAGACAGAGTTGGAGCCTTCCAAGATATTGGGCTATCTCATAACATTGTTCGATGGTGACAGCCAGACCTCTGGCATCACAACCGACTTACAGACGACCATACTCACACTGGCCATCAGTAGAGTGCAACAGCTCAACTCATTGTTGCAATCGGTGCCCAATCATCAGGCTGAGAAGGTCACCGCTAAGAAGATTAGTAGCGTGCATTTGTCATCACTGGAACATCATGCACCCAGTGACATCACAAAGGAGATGCAGTTCATTGTATACAAGGTGTTGGAGCGACTAAAGTCAAACACTGAGCTGGAACACATGTGGAAGTTGGTGTTGGACAACATCTGTATCTGGTGCGACTATGCCACACCCAAGCACATCCAATACGTCCTTACCAAGATGATCAGACAAGGAGGCGTCAACCCCAGCTCACAGACACAGGCTCAATCACTCTTTACCAACGTCCTCACCAACTCCCAGTTCTACGAGATCGAGTCGTTCAGAGGTATGTCCCACTCAATCACTCGATCACTCAATCGTACATCTTGGAATGATTCCGACACTTACTAACCTTGATCACTAAATATCATTCATTATCCAGAACAATTCCCAACAATGTTGGCCAAGGAGGTGCAGCGAGCAGTTGAACATTTGATCACTGGATCAAAGACACAGAAGAAGATGGCGACGTTGTTCAGTGCGATTGGCGAGAACTTGAGTGGACATGATGATTGCCAGAGTTTCTCAGAGATTGTCCAACTGATCACCTCGACGCTCAAGTCACTGGAGCTGAGTGCCAAGGACCTGCTGCAGGACCAAGACGTCTGGAACCACTTGGCCTGGCTCCTGGCCCTCATACCCGCAATGAACGCAAGCTACATCCAGGTGGACTGTGTCGGCACACTCACACTGCTGCCCGTGATCATCGACATTGTGATCAGCGCCATCGAGTTGGACGACGGCAACGACAAGGCATTCACCGAGATGGTGTACCGTGCGCTGCTGGCCAACAGGAAGCTGCTCAAGTACTGTCTTCAGAAGGACCAGTCGCGCCTCGTCCAGATCATCCCGCTCAGCATTTGGATCTCGATCGTCTTCAACAACAGCAAGAGCACCGCGAGCTTTGAGCACGTGGTCGACAACGTCGGCCTGATCACACATCACCTCAACGACATCCAGCACATCATTGCGTCGGAGCTGTGGGAGAAGCACCCGATGGACTTCACCGAGCTCACTGAGCTGGCCATGAAGGAGAACAAACATTCTTCAAAGGACTCGTTTGGCAGCGGTGGCGTCGGCATCATCCTCAAGTCCATCGTGGACAGCGTTGAGAACGGCTTCAAGAAGAGCCTGCCCTCCGACCTCGAGGAACAGCTGCAGTGTCTTGACAAGCCCGTTCACAAGTTTATCGACGAACTGGTCGTCACGCCCAAGGACGGGTTGGCGGCCATCCTCAGCAAGCGTCGCGATCAACTCGAGACCACAGTATACTATCTCTGGCTGTCGATATCCAAGGCCGACCCATCGACCATGTCACGTGTGGAGCGATTGGACATCACACCAGAGGAGGCTGACACTGTGATCAAGCTGGCACGCGCAATTGGCCCATTCATCAGCAACTTGAACCCACAGAACATTGCCAAAGTACCAATTACCCTGCAGACGAGCATCGTCTCACTCCTCGACCTCTGCTCCAAGATCTCTGCCAACATCATCCTGCAGCGCAAGAACAATGGCACTGACGCCACCTCATCAGACACACGCAATACCACCCTCCAAGAGTCGTCCTACCTCGTCTCCCTTCATCTCTATCTCATTGGATTGTATCCAGGTACGGTATCTACTTGTGATGTGATTAATCAATCATAAACTAACTTACATGGAAACATTCCCCTCCCCCTCCCACGCCACCACAGTCCAATCCAAGTTGTCCAAACAACTCTCCAACTCATTGCTTCACTTTGGCCAGCACAATCAGATTGATAACTTCATGCCAATGCTCGTGCAGTTGTTGTCCAACGAACATTTGAAGGAGCAACAATTCCAGGTTCTACACATCATCAATCTGTTGATCAACTCTGGCACGCGACAGATGTTGCCAGCTGTTCTGTCCAGCCTCATTGAGACATGTGTCAGTGTCGTGTACAGCTGTGTCTCGCACTCTGAGCCACACACCCAGCACCCTCTGCTCAACAACGCGCTAATGCTACTGGCCAAGCTGGCAGACCGTGTCAACCCTCAACAATCTGGCGGCGAGGCCATGCAAACGATCATGACCATCTTCTTGGCATTCGAGGGACCATTCGTGTACTCTGTGCCACGCTCACTAAAGTCATACCAAGCCGAGCAATCATACGACACGCTCCCGATGGAGGTGGTCGACTTCCAGATCGTGGCCGCGTCGCAGTCCCAGACCTCCCACCCAACGCGCCACATCAAGATGGACAGCGAGTTGTTCACCAACCTATGTCGTCTGCTGTACAGCGTCCAGAGGTCAAAGGGCAAGCACTTTGTCAAGCTGATATCACCATTCATCAACTGTCTCCGATACCTGTTGTTTGGATTGGCCAACGATGATTATGGACTGGATGATCGATGTGCCAGGAGTCTGTCCAGACTCTTGGAGGACTTTAGCAAGTTCAAAGATGCCAAGAACTATCTACATCATATCATCTTGGATTATATCAACATACTTACATATCAACCCTCTGCTGCTACTGCCTCAGTAGCGTCATCCACAAGTACATCATCAACCTCATCAATCTCATCAACAACAACATCCACTTCCAACAACAAACATCCAGAACACCAACAACAAAGACACAAACTCAAACAGGTTCAATATTACTTGACAATCGATATCCGTCGGTCATTACAACCTGGACTGATTGCAGTCTTTGGATCCATTGACAACACAATGTATGTTATCTCCCTTGTACCACTTCCATCACTCGTCCAGTCACTAACAATCCATATCCCATTCACATGAATTATATTTACAGGCGTGAGAGCTTATTCAAATCACTTGGCGATGAGTCCAAGGGTCATTTCAAGACATTGTACGAGCAGCATCAAAGCGAACGATACACTGGAAAGTAAACAAAGTCATATTACTGTTATATCAATATCACACATTGATTGATATTAATTGTGAGTTTATTTAAATATATTATTATTATTATTATTATTTGTTTGAAGTTCATTTATAAATACTTCAGAAAAACGAAAAATATTCGAATATTTTTGAATATCTCATCGAATTCAAACGAAAGTTGAAGATTTTCAAAGTTGTAACGGCACGACCGTTCACATTATAGATAGATAGAAATATAGATGTCAAGTATATTACCTCCATTATTATTACAAGAAGTTGTACATTTTATTAAAGATGATATTGATAAGTTATCATTTGCATTAGCATGCAAGTCTCATTATAAATACATTCACAGATGGGCACGATGGATGGTCATTGTCGATATGACCAACAGACCAAAGAGGTCTGGTCGTGGCTATCGTAAAAAAGCACCAGATACAACAACTACAACAACTGATGACAACAACAACAACAACAACAACAACACCCAAGTCCAAGTTAAAGCAAAGCCAAAGAAGCCAACAACTAAAGTTGAACCACCACTACCACCTCAACTATGTCAATCACCTCAATACCTTTGGCATTATATTGTCAAGGCCAAGGATATACCTTATGATATATCAAGGTCACTCACTAGACTGGTGATGGGCGATCTATTCAAAGGACCTGTTAAATACGAGATGTTTCCTGAATCATTGACCGAACTCCATCTTGGATATATGTTCAATCAAACAATTGGCCCATCACTACTACCTCACTCATTGACCGTGCTCGAGTTTGGTCACCACTTCAATCAACCATTGGATCGCATATCATTGCCGCCCTTCCTCGTCAAGCTAACATTTGGACCAGCTTTCGCCTCACAAATCCCTCACAACAAGTTGCCAAACACACTCCTCCACCTGAACCTTGGCTACGCCCATGCGAAAGAATTCATTGGTTACAGCTCATCCATCAAGATACAAGATGGCGCACTACCTCCCGATCTCAACACCCTGTTCTGCCATGATAGATGGATACTGCCAGACCAACTTCCGGCATCGATCAGATTGGTTCGTACCAAGTTCGAACTCATGAGATTCCACAACGTCTGTCCCCATTGGTTCTACAAACACAACCCGCATGTTGGCATGGAGATCTCCCTCCACGACCAGAGCTACAAGGCAACATCGCACCACCACCTGCCACTGACCAATCTATACATGTCGCATGAAGAGCCAAAGCTTACTGCACTGCCGTCGACAATCAAAGTACTGGCGATCAATTATTTGAACGAGGAGCTGCAGGTTGGCATGTTGCCATTGGGTCTCACCGAATTTCACATGGGAGAATTGTACAACCTTCCGATCGAACCTGGACACCTGCCGGACAAGTTACGAGTGTTGGTCTTGAGCGTTCGGTTCAAGCAACCTTTGAAGATTGGCGTTCTACCACAGTCTCTTACGGAACTCACTTTTGGCAACAAGTTCAATAGTGAGATTGGTGTTGGTGTGCTTCCGCCGAACCTGGTGTCGCTCAAGTTTGGAAACCGCTTTGGTCATGGTATGGGCGCTGGCGTCCTACCACAATCTCTCCAAATGCTACGTCTTGGACGTGGCTTTGCGGGACTCGTCGACGACGTGGTCATACCAAGCGGAATACGCTACTTGGACATGCACGCGCACGTTGATTTCGTCAAGTATCTTGCTCAGTGTCCATCGCTCGACACCTTGAAGCTCCGCATCCTTGACACACCATATCGGAGGTTCTCCAATGCCGTCGTCAAAGTCCCGTCCACCGTCACATCACTCAAGCTGACAATCAGAGGACGGTCGGCAAATGCCAGGGAGTACATCACCAACCTGCTGAAGGACAATCCACAGCTCACTGGCTTCAGCGTCAAGATTCAGAAAGACACATATAATATACGATTCCTCGATGGGCAATCACAGGACAACAACCAGTTGGCAGTGTGTGTCTGTCACCTCAAGAACAACTTGGACTCGAGCAAGCTGACATTCTTCAAAATGGACCAATTCCTCTCGCGGACAACTACATTCAAGGTGTTCAATCCATTCTTTGTTGAGCAAAACAGAATGGGAGACCTCCTTGACGATCGTACTGATGAGAGTAACAGTGAAGGTTTTATGGATACCAGCAGCGACGACGATTTTGACGATAGTGACGATGACTTTAATTTCTTTGATCGTCGAAAATATCAACCTTATCGCTGGGATTCATCCGACGATGATTGGGATTCATCCGGTGATTGGGATTCATCCGATGATTATTATTAAAGATAAATAAATAAAGTGATTGATCAATCCTAAAAAGGAAATTTGATGAAGCCACACAAAATCTTGGATCAATACCGTTTGGACCAAACATAATATAGAGATAGATGGATACACTATCACCAATAATACTACAATCAATCATAAAGCTACTGGACCCATCATCTTCAAGTTCTTCATCTTCATCAGGTTCATCAGCGATTAATGTGCTCGCATTCGCCTTGACTTGCAAGTCAAACTACAAACATCTCTATAAATGTTCAACAAGATGGTTGACCTTTGTCAATGCCAAGGAGGGCATGACCAACCACAACCTGCCGTCTCCACCATCATCATCATCATCATTTCAAACAACATGGATATATGATGTTGATGAAAGATCAAGGAACATTGTGCCTGGCACTCTACCATCAACACTGACACGTCTAGAGATGGGCGATTCCTTCAGCGCAGAGATCAACGCCAATACATTCCCAAAGTCACTGCTCGAACTCAGTCTTGGATTCATATTTGATAGACATATCGCCCCGGGTACACTACCGAGCTCCATCACAGTGTTGAGGTTTGGCGCACACTTTAGCCAACAACTTGAGGCCGGCTCACTTCCACCTTGCCTCGTAAAGCTCATACTCGGTCATGAGTACAGACACGGGATCAAGCGTGGATTGCTACCAAAGACACTGCAATACCTTGACCTGGGTCAGGACTTTCAGGTGCCGCATAGCAATCCCAATCTAACACGTGACATGTTCTCGTTCAACAGGGTCAAGAGAGAGATTGAAGATGGTGCGTTGCCAGAGGGACTTACATACCTTGGCCTAGACGACAACTGGGCCATCCCAACAGTGCTACCCTCATCAATCAAGTTAATGCGAGTTGGATCGGTGCGATATGATCATGAATGGTATGATCGCACACTCCCAGGCACCTTTGAGGGCATGGAATGGAACTACAACAGCGCAGCAACAAGGAATCTTGTCAAAGGCGTGGCTTATCTTCCTCTCACCTGTCTACACATGTCTAGCATTGATCACCAGATCAAGCCAGGAATGCTTCCCGACACACTCAAAGTGTTGTCGCTCGGATATCAATTCGATAAAGCACTTGTGGCTGGCGCGCTTCCATCGTCCCTCACATCATTTGATATGGGATGTGTGTTTGAGCATCCTATCAGACCAGGTGATCTGCCCGCATCACTACGTCGTCTTGTGATGTCCGATTTGTTTAACATGAAGATGCTGCCAGGCTCACTCCCACCATCGCTCACCGAGCTCATCTTGGGACGTTGTTTCGACTGCAAGTTGGACGTTGGCGTGTTGCCACCATCCTTAACAAAGCTGATCTTTGGCAACAACTATGATATGTCCATTGGCGTTGGCGTACTACCTCAATCGCTGGCGGTTATCAAGTTTGGTTCATCATTCTCTCAACCAATGGCGAGTGAGGCATGGCCTCAATCCCTTTGGAAACTAAACATTAACAAACTGTTCTTTGCTGGTCAGGACAACAATGTGAGTGCCAATGCCACGCCTCCACCACCTGGCCTTCAATCACTGGACATGTATCATCAACTTGATCACATACAATATCTTGCATTGTGCACATCGGTCCACACTTTGAAGGTCCACTCCAGGATGAAACCACAACCTATGGACAATGGTGATGATCACGTGGACTCTAAGCTCGAACGAATGATTATCCCAACAAATGTCAAGACCATCAAGTTGGACATAAGTTCACAAGAGGCAAAGACATATCTTAGTATGATGTTGTCGGACAATCCACATGTTACAGCCTTCCGAATGAAGATGTATGAACAAACATTCGATGTTCGCATACTGGATGATAATAGACAGTTGGCAGTATGTGTATGCATTGTCAATGGACTGTGCAATGGACATGCCAACAAGATGACATTCTTCCGTCTCGATCACCTCCTGAAGACAGGTCCAGACACTACATTCAAAGCACTCTATCCACATCTCCATGAACAAGATTATGATGGAGACTATGATGATGATGATGACATTGATGAAGACAATGACATGGTTGACGATGATTATAACAATGATGACGATGACTATTATGTTGATGAGGAAGATGAAATAATAGAGGAATCAGAAGAAGACGATGAGTTTGAAGAAGAGGATGATCAAGATGAGGAATAAACAATCCATAATCAATCAAAGGTAGAAATGATTGTCCAACAAGTTGACCTCCCGGATGGACCCAAGGACCCAAGGACCCGCACATTGTACTGGTGGACAAGGATATATTGGGAAATTTGAACAAATTAGGTAGTTGTTGTGCTGTTGTCCAACTATCTTGAGGCTGTCAGTCCATTCAATCAACTTATCAACAATATAATGAAGCTGTATCTATATCTAATTCTCTATCTCATGGTATTAGGTAGATCCTCCACACTATGTCCATGTGAACACACCAACTGTCCAGACAGGATGAGTCATCCATACCGCGATCACACGGGTCGAGCCAAGCACTACAGGAATAAACACAAGAAAGTTAGATGTACATCATATTGCTTGGTGTGCGCCACATCAAATCCAACTGAGGAGCAGAAACGGCAACAACAAATACAACATGAACAACTCCAACTTGAACAACATCAACAACATTGCCTGAAGGATACGATGTAGACATGAACAATGTGATTCGAATCTACCATGGTTCGAAAGGACCAACTTGACCAAGCACGAGTTCAAAAGAAGTCTCCACAAACATTGCTCATCCTCTTGTCTCAAGGGCCTCACTATTCGATGATGTATTTGTATCTGTATTTGTATCTGTATCTTTGAATTTCAACATTGTAAAGTCAGTGAACTAAATGTTTGCCACATTCTTGTGTTCATTCATTCATTGCAAATGTTAGAGATAGATACATAAAGGGATTATGATGGATACATTATCACCTCTAGTAGTACAAACAATCATTAATCAATTGGAATCGGCAATTGATGTACTCTCATTCTCATTGACATGTAAAGTTCACTTTCAACATCTTTACAGAAGTTGGAGATGGACTACATATATCAATACAACATCGCAATCGCCATCATCATCATCATTAAATTGTACATGGATATACAATATAGATAATGAACAGACAAGAGATAATCTATTTAGCAAGATACCAAAGACACTCAAACGACTTGAGATACGCTTTGCATTCAAAGGTTTGTCGTCTCTCAACATTGTCAACATGCTTGCTTGGTCATCATTGCTCGAACTCAATCTCGGTGATGAGTTTGATGGACCTATCCTGGCCAACTCACTGCCCAACTCATTGACCGTTCTGAAGCTTGGCTACAAGTTCAATCAACCCCTTGTTGTTGGGTCTCTGCCACCATGTCTCGAGAAGCTTATCATTGGCTCAGAGTTCAAACAAACGATCAAGATAGGTGTTCTGCCCGATACACTCCAATTCCTTAACCTAGGTTATGATAACAAGTACCCACAATACCCTTCCAATGTGTGCCCTTCAATCGAAGACGGAGCACTACCTAATGGTCTCAAGTACGTGGCTCTTGGAGAGTTTTGGTCCTTCCCATTAGATCTCCCCTCTTCAATCACTTGTCTGAATGTTGGAAGGCTCCTCTCAATCGATCCTAGCTCTGGACAAGGCTTGACATGGTGCATTGAAAATGAATATGAAGCCAGGCTTGTCAATGGCGCGGCACATCTCCCTCTCACAGGCTTATTCATAAACCCCAATACTAATGGTGGCGACCTGATCTCACCAGGAAGGTTGCCAAACACACTCAAATCCTTATCGCTCGGCCACCTAAACCATAACAAGCTTGTGGTTGGCTTGCTTCCGCCGTCCTTGACAATGCTGGACATGGGATTCAATATCGACTGTCCAAAAACACCTGGACTTTTGCCCAATGGTCTCCTTCGTCTTCACCTCTCCAGAGAGTTTGATCGAAAATTGAAGCCAGGATGTCTGCCCCATTCAATCGTACATCTCTCCTTTGGACAGTATTATGATCAGAAGATTGAACGAGGTGTGTTGCCTCCTTCACTTACGATATTAATACTAAGCGATTTTTTGATCATCGTCTCGATCCTGGCCTTCTTCCTTCAACGCTGACCCTCCTCGAGTTTGGAAGATTCTTTGCGCAACCGATCACACAGGACATTTGGCCAACATCACTTCTTAATCTTGCAATTGGTCAAGACATGTTTCATCGACATGTAGACATTGCCAAACCTCCACCAAATCTGAAGTACCTTGATATTCACAACATGATCGATCACGCAAGATTTCTGGCAATGTGTACATCGATCGATACCCTCAAGGTCAACATCAATATTAGTCCACTGGAGGATGGACCCAAGGTTGAGGGTGGCGGAGGGATCATCAGCAGACTAGGTCCTTTGATCATTCCACAAAACGTCAAGATACTGGTACTCAAAATCAATGCATCTCTTCAAACAATCAAAGGATATATTTGGAAGGTTCTATCAGACAATCCACATATTATTAACTTCCATGTGGCAACGAACTCAAACGAATTCGATGTGCGATGTCTGGATGAACGACGAGAGTTGGCCATATGTGTGTGCAAGATTGAGGATACATGTGATGACACTACCAGCAAGATGACATTCTTCCGTCTCGATCACTTCCTCAACTCTGACATCAACACCACCTTCAAGACATTCGATCCATTCTTTGATGACTCTAAACTATATGAACCAGATGAATATGATGACTATGAAGATGATGATGATGATGATTATGATGAAGGTGATGATGAAGATGTCGTGTTCAACCAAACTTTGATCAATCACCAACAGTAATCTTTCTCAGCAAAGTGAGTTTGCAAAATTATTCACATATTCATTCCATACTTTGTAATCATTCAATCATTCATTCATTCAATCAATAAATCAATTTATATAGAGATAAGAGATAGAGATAATGGATACACTATCACCACTAATATTACAATCAATCATTAATCAATTGGATAAGGCAATTGATGTACTCTCATTTTCTTTGACTTGTAAAGTTCACTTCAAACATTTATACAGAAGTTGGAGATGACTACATTTATCAGAGTCAACAACAAGATATCACAATTACAATCACAACTATTACTATCTCCACCATCATCATCATCACAATGCACATAGATTTATAATATTTATAATTCACAAACAAGAGAGTACATACTCAAGACCATCCCACCTACACTCAGACGACTTGAGATACATAGTTCATTCAATTCATCACACTTCGTCAACATTCTGGGATCATCTTTGATCGAACTCAATCTCGGGGATATGTTTTATGAGCCAATCCCGCCAGGTGCACTACCTCATTCCATCACTGTGTTGAGACTCGGCAACAACTTCAATCAACCATTTGCTGCTGACCAGCTGCCTCCTTACTTGGAGAAGTTTATCATTTCTTCTCACTACACACATCCGATGAAGAGAGGCGTTCTACCCGAGACTCTCCAATTCCTTGACATTGGTTATTATGACAGATATTTCACATCAAAACAATACACTTCAATTGAGGATGGAGCATTGCCTCAAGGTCTCAAGTACTTGGGTATTGAAGAGATGTCAACTGTCCCAGCACAGCTACCCTCATCAATCAACCGACTGATTATTGGAAAGGATGCTCATCAAGGTTTGACAGAGTGGACAGTATCACATGGTTTGACATGGAACGCTAATAAGGTACTTGACTTTAATCTGATGAAAGGTGTAGAACATCTCCCTCTTACAAGTTTATTCCTAAATAACGATAACGTTGGCGAGGAGTTGGTGTCGAAGGGAAATCTCCCAAACACACTCAAAGTCCTCTCGATCAACTATGTAAGCATTCGCAATATCGAGGTTGGATCACTTCCCTCTTCCCTCACCAAGCTCGACATGGGATTCCATCCCGATTGTCGACTCAAACCTGGGCTTCTTCCAAATGGTCTCCTTCATCTTCACCTCTCCAAAGATTTTGATCACGAGTTGGAGCCTGGATGTCTGCCCTCATCAATCACAAATCTCTCCTTTGGAAAGAATTTTAATCATATAATTGAACATGGAGTGCTACCACCTTCAATCACAAAGCTGGAGTTTGGTGATAATTTTAATCAACCTCTCATTGTTGGAGTCCTCCCCTCAACAATAACATCACTCAAGTTTGGAAGACTTTTCATACAACCCGTCACACAGGACCTCTGGCCCCCATCACTTCTTAATCTTATCATTGGGTTCAACATGTTTTACTTTCATTTGGACAAAATTCCCAAACCTCCACCAACTCTAAGGTACCTTGATATGCACAACACGTTTGATCAATGCAGATTTATGACAAGTTGTACTTCGATCAATGTACTAAGGATGAACATCAAGATTAATCCCAAAGTAGAGGAAGATATTATTGGCAGTCTAGGCGTATTGATCGTTCCGCACAATGTCCGTGAGCTTATATTCAATATCAACTCGTCACTGGAGTTTACAAAAGCATATATTTGGAAAGTTCTATCTGACAATTCTAAGATAACAAGCTTCCAAATCGAAACTTTATCAAGACGATTTGAAGTGCGTAGTTTGGATCAGTCGAGAGAGTTGGCCGTATGTGTGTGCCAGATTCAAGATACCTGTGATGACACCACCAGCAAGATTAGATTCTTCCGTCTCAACCTTTTCCTCAACTCCCACTCCGCGACTTCCAAAAATTCGATCCATACTTCCCAGACCGCCCACTTTATGAACCAGATGAATATGATGATGTATCAGATGTATCTGATGATCCATATGGATCATTTGGATCATATGGATCATTTGGATCGGACTATGGTTATTCTTATTGACCTTAAATATCTTTAAAATTATTCTTTGGTACGATTAAATATTTGATTAGTATGATTCATAATATAATTGAATTAATATTATTTAATTGCCTTCTTTTGTTCAATTCAATTTACTTACTTTCTCGAGAACCCTACCCTTGCCCTCGCCCTTGTTTATAATGCATAAACAGAAGTTCGTTTTGTTAAACAGTTTTGCAATATTTGTATTTTTATTTATTTTTTCAAAGACGACTACCATCCACCTCGCACACACTCACGCTCGATGCAGGATACACTCATATCAACTCGCACTTAGTACTTCTTTCTTCTTCACCATCTGCATTATCCCAACGTCATCCAAAGTCGAAATGGTACGTACCATCTACCATCATCAATCCAATCGATCCAATCCTACCTATCCAGGTCATTCATTCAGGCGTCGACATCTAGCATCTAGCAGAGGAGGATTGGATTGGATTGGGATGAAGCTCTCGATGAATCAACAAACATGTAGAGTTAGACTAACTCATCAATCAACATACAGCCTATCCACGAATTCCAGGTTGTTGGCCGTCACGTTCCAACTGAGAGAGAGGCTCACCCAAAGCTCTTCAGAATGAGACTCTTTGCTAAGACCTCTGTCCACGCCAAGAGCAGATTCTGGTACTTCTTGTCAAAGATCCAAAAGATGAAGAAGGCCACCGGTGAGATCCTCAACGTCACTGAGGTATGAATCACGACAACAACAGAACACAGCATCACATATATCGTCAACAACACAACCAACTAACTCATCACATTCAATCACTTAGATCTTCGAGGAGAAGCCACAACAGATCAAGAACTTTGGTATCTTCATTAGATACAACTCCAGATCTGGCACTCACAACATCTACAAGGAGTACCGTGACGTCACCCGTGTCGGTGCTGTTGCTCAAATGTGTATGTGTCAATCTGTCCATGTACACCTCTCGATCGAACAGTCATCAAGTTAGTTAGTCATTCAGTCAGTCTCGAGCGAACTATGATCATACTCGCGATACAGGATGATTTGATTCATGCGAACTATGCAGGTTGACGCGACAGGTGACCTTAATGATATCACTCATTGATTGATTGATCGATCTACATATGACGAGGGAGGCGACGAATAGGACGAAGACAATGAATGACTATGACTATGACTAGGAGGCGAGACAACTAAACTCAACGAACGATCATTGACTAATCATTCATTCAATATAATATAGACGACGAGATGGCCTCCCGTCACTCTGCCAGAGAGAAGACCATCCACATCATTGAGATCAAGGAGGTCGCCGCTGCCCAGACTCGCCGTACCAACACCAAGCAATTCCACGACTCGAAGATCAGATTCCCACTCACTCACCGTGTTCCAAAGAGATTGCCCCAGTTCAAGGCTACCTTCAAGGCCACCAGACCCAAGACCTTCTAAGAGAATCCCCTCCTCCTTCATTCCTTTCCATGGCATCATTCATCTCACTGCGTACTACACACCAAAAGTGAGTGAGACGATTGATAAAGGCTCCTCTTTCAATGACTTAACGGATAACAATAAACCCAAATTAAAACAAATCTTCGTCTCTGTCTGTGTGTTTGTCTGTTGGGTATGTTGATCATCTTATCATTCATTATGAATGAAAGTGTCAATCAATTAACACATAAACACATGCACAACCATAGCCCAAGATGGTCGGAAGTTTGAAAAGTGATCACTTCGGCTCTACCTCTTGTGCAAAGATCCAAGCAAAGTGTCGTCTTCTCAAAACACTCTTTAACAACCCGACCCCGACTCACATGTCTAAAGAGAGAGACAACTGTTGGTTTCGTGTTGAGTCACAACACTTGCCAACCAACCCCACACCCTTCCATCTCGCTTACTCTCGTGTACTCTGTCACACTTATAACTTAATATCTTTGTTTCATTCTTTCTCACTCATCCACTCATCCACTCAACTAGTACAGTACTGCTACACTACTAAGTTACTTACTTACTTACTTAACAAACAAAAGAAAGAAAGAAAGAAAGAGATATTGTTCATGTATCTGTAACAAATAATATTTAGTTTGATGAACGATGATGACGACTGTAATAATAACAAAAGGAACATCACCACGATGGTGTAATTATAACATAACAACAGTACCACTACTATTACTATTATCACTATTACTATTATTACTAAATAATGTGGACGCGACTACTACCAATACACCAGACAATCCATACACTATATATCAACATTTGTCTACAAAGACACCTTATTGGATACCTCCAGTAGGTGTTAATGGTACAACTGATACACCACAGCCACCTCCAGGTTGCCAACTAGGCCGAATTGATCTGTTGGCACGTCATGGTAGTCGTAACCCTGTGGCCTCCAACATTGCCTCGTTGGAAACACTGTCAACTACACTCCAACCATACGCTGCCAACATCACCGAGCAGTACCAATGGATCCTGAACTGGACTGTGCCCTACCCCGTCGACGAGGCGGGTCTGCTCATCCTGCAGGGCCAGTACGAGCACTACAACATCTCCAAGCGCTTCCTGCAGCGCCAGCCCGGCTACTTCCAGCCCTACCAGCCATTCATCTACGACCTGTCGGCCACGTGCGTCAGTCGCACTGGCATCAGTGGCGGCTCGTTCATGTATGGCCTGTTTGAGAACGTCGGCCAGCTCGGCCCACAGCGCTTCCAGCCAGTGTTCATCGACATCCAGTCCTGTGACCAGGACAATCTGCTGCGCTTCTTTGACACTTGCCAGAGCTACAACACACTCATAGACTTGGGAGACATCAACGACAATGAGGTGGCCAAGTACAACAACTTGACGTTTGGCACCGTGTCCAACAATATTGCCACCAAGCTCGGACTCCAGAACATCATGGATCCGACCAACAAACTGGTCAGCAATATGTACCAGGCATGCTCCTACGACCTGTCCATCTTTAACATTACCGATCGCTGGTGCAGTCTGTTCAGCGAGGAGGACATCCTCACGCTCGAGTACTCCCAGGATCTGTCCAACTACTGGATGAAGAGCTATGGCTACCTCAACAACTACATCATCGCTTCGTCCCTGTTCCAGGACATGATCTCTGGTCTCGACCAGTACATTGCCAACCCAACTGCCAACAATGCCACCAATGCCATGAGGTTCGCTCATGCCGAGACCGTCATACCATTCGTGACCCTGTTGGGCCTGTACCAAGACCCCTTCAAGCTTACTGCCAATCTCACCGCCCAACAGATTAGCAACCGACTTTGGAGAAGCAGTATCATCTCACCCTATGCCGCCAACATCGCATTCTACCTCTTCAACTGTGGTGATGACCAATACAAGATAAGAGTTGATCACAATGAAGTGGTATGATATGTGAACTCGCCAAGTCCAAGTCCTTGTCCACTCCTAACATCAATCAAACAATCATATAATAGGGCGTTCTTATTCCTGGCTGTGATGATCTGTACTGTAACTACACTCTGTTCAAGTCGTTGTTCCCTGAGGCAATGGCATTCAATTGGACGACGTATTGCTCGCCAAGTTCAAACAACAATGGCAATTCATGTAACAAATCAGAGGATGCTTATAAGATCTACCTTGGTACATTCATACCAGTAGCATTCGTCGTTGGTACTCTTGCCGGTGCCCTCACCATCATCTTCTTTAAGAAGAATGATCAAACCAAGATACCCTACAGACAAGTTCATTCATAAATTTAGTTATCTATTGCAACCAATCAATCAATCACTCAATACCCACTCTGATCACTTTCCAACACACTCATTCCCCGATTCGATGACAACATTATTGATCAAACAACACATCGAACTCACACACAGACAAACAAACACACTTACACCCAAGTTCTTTGAACAATGGTCTGTGATCAACGCGACAAAAACAAAACATCGGGGGGTGAGCCTACACGATTTTGATCAAAAAATAGTTGGGCGATAATTCATCTGAGTCTGGTATTTTTAACGTCAATCGCTTCAAAGTTGTTGATTGCAGATAGGTCTGAGAAGGGCAGACATACACAGAGGGACCACGAAGATTGTCAGATTTATGTGTGTTGTTTCAGAAAGAAACACACAATTTAATCATTCATTCACTCACTTGTCAAGTCGTTGACGCCTGCGTCATCATCATCATCATCATTCACATTCATTCCTATCTGATGGGCACTTAGCAAATCATTCGCATCATCTCCATCATATATTATCTATCAATCAAACAAACAAATATTATATCTTTTATATTTATAATTCAATCATGGAGATGCAAACTATCTCATTCTCTGATGGTAGTGACCCGATTAGACAACAGGTCAGCCCATCATCATCATCAAACAATCTAAATAGTAATAATAATAATAGTATTGCAGTTGCAAGTAGTAGTAGTAGTCAATTGAGTCTAGCAAACAGCAGTTCACCTATTATCACAAAGAAGAAGGTCCATCATCATGGACATCATGGGCCATTATCACATGTCCACATGCCCCATCTTCCACATATGCCCCATATGCCACATCTTAAACCAGTATGTCCAATTAGTTAGTTCCACTGGCATGCATGCCCACAACCTCTAACTCACACGTCCGATCAATCAATCAAATCCAATCAATCAATTAAAGGGCAAACTATTCCATGGTAAAGGACTTAAGAAATTAAGAATGATGTCCAAGAAGAAGAGACAGAGAAAGAAGTCAAAGTCATATCAACGAAGGAAACAAGTCAATTCCTTTATCAATTCACCTGCCATCACAACTCTTCTTATTGTCGCTTCAATATTCATGGTCTTCATCGGTATGTATACCCATCCGATTTTTGGATTCGATCACGTGATTCAATCAATCACGTGACATCCAATCACGTGACACAAATCAATCACCAAATATTAACCAACCTTCCATCCCATCCCTATCACATCTATTCCTAACAGACGACTTCCTGGTGGCCACTGGAGCACCCAACTCTACAGCATGCTACACAGCAGTGTCGGTGCTAAAGATTGTTGTATTTGTAATATTCACTGCTGATATCGTATTGACAAGTTATGCACAGCGACTACACTATGTCATATCATTCTTCTTCCTAATGGATCTGATCTCGCTGGCATCACTCGTCCCAGATATAGTCTCATTCCTAGGCGGCTTCCACACATTGGCCACGCTCAACTCTCTGTCGCTCAGCAGGACTGCACGTGTTGCCAGGATCGCCTCGAGGATTGCCCGTATCAGCAAGGTGTTGAGCTTCAACAGAGACCAACGCAAGTCGGCCCAGGAGAAGGAGGAGCTGCACATGCCCATTCAGCCATCGTCCGTGGGTCACAAACTGTTGTCCAAGACGTCCAACTACGTCATTGTGATGATCCTGCTTGTTGTACTGATCACCACACTCACCAACCCCGACAACACCACATTGCAACCGATGGAGCACTCTGTACTGGACTTGTTTGTGATCACGGCAAGGTCCAGTGGCAGCGTCACCAGCCAACAGTTCAACGACACACTCTCTGGATTCATCGCGACCAGTGGCAACCCCGAGCTACTCTACCTCAACATCCTCGACCAAGAGGTATTCAAGTCCAGTGTGGACACGACCAACTGGTTCGATGTATACATACTCAAGTCTGGCTTCAATCAGTAAGTTATTCAATCAGCTGACCATCGATCAGCTGACCATCAATCATACTAACTCAGAGCCCATCCAATCACTAAAGGAGCGAGATATGGATTAGTAACAAGAAGTTCCAACAAGATTCAGCTGCACTTGGCATCACACTGACAGTGTGCATCATCATTATCATCTCGTTGGGCACTTACTTTATGTCGAGAGACTTCCAGGTGATGGTGATCAAGCCAATCGAGCGAATGATGTCTCTGATCAAGAAGATCAGCTCAATGGAGAGACATGATCACCCATCGTCCACCACTGGCAGCGACTATGGCGACACCGACGCCGACTTGGACGAGCACGACTTTGCCTCGGACGCCGAGTCCGGCATGAGTGGCGACTCTGACTATGAGACCGACAGTCTGAGCGGCTTCTACGACGAGAATGAAGCGCACATCATCGTGGACATGCTCAACGATGTCGTCACCAAGAAGATGGAGCATCACAACCGCGCCAAGAATGCTATCGAAGGCCACACCCAGCTGTCCAACAACTTGGCAAGTCTTGGAGCTGCCGCCGCCGGCTTCCTGGCGCGCAAGCAGTTTGAGTGTTTGAAGAAGGCCTCAACACGCCGTGCACGCATTGTCAAGGAGATGCTCACCACCGAGCAAACTTACGTCGCGTCTTTGGCTGGTGCCATCGAGGGCTATTACATGCCACTGCGAGCAGCCGGCTCTAACCTGGCCACACCGGAGCAGATCGAGCACCTCTTCTGCAACATTGAGGTGTTGCATCAGCACCACATTGGCTTCCTCGCCAAGCTCGAGGAGCGTGTAAACAGCTGGCACCACAACCAGGCGATTGGTGATCTGTTTGCCGAGCTCGAGTCCGTCGTGGACATCTACACAACCTACGTCAACAACTACACCAACGTCGTGCCCACCATCGAGGATATGCGTCGCGACAACAAGGTGGCCGACTTCTTGATGGATTGTCGTGAGAAGAACTGCAAGGGCATCGAGCTCACCTCCTACCTGATCATGCCAATCCAGCGTATGCCTCGCTACGTGCTGTTGCTGGAGGACTTGCTAAAGCACACGTCCGAGGGTCACTTTGATCTGGAGCCCATTGGCAACGCGTCACGCTCGCTCAAGAAGGCGACCGTGGTGCTCAACGAGCGCAAGAGGGAGCACGAGAACAAGCACACCATCCAAGACCTGTACATGAAGCTGTCACCGCCCGTACCCGACATCTTGGTGCCAGGCAACAGCATCATCCTGCAGGGCAAGCTGAAGCACGACGGCGAGAAGTTCTTCTTCATCCTGCTCAACAGCGGCCTGCTCAAGGCGGCCAAAGAGTCGTCGACACAGATTCAAGTCAAGAGCTACTATGGCGTGCGCGACATGACCGTCACTGTCATCCAGGACTGCCCTTCAATCAAGATCGTCAACGCATTCCAGATCAAGCTGGAGGACCAGCAGATGTTGCTGTTTGCCAAGACACCTGAGCAGCGCCAGGAGTGGGTCGACGCCATTGGTCAGTTCACCAAGGTGATGGTGGCCCGAACAAAGTCAGTCATGTTGTTGTCGCAATCGAAGCGATCGTCGCAGGGTGGCAAGAGTCCCATTATGACCAGCAGCACAGGTAGCTCCAGTCGATTGAGTGTGCCAGGTGGTGTTGGATCAAGTGGACACATGAAGTCCAGCTCATCATCATTGTCGCCCAGTCTATCAGGACTGAACATTCCACAGATCAGTGCGCCCAACTTGTCCAACTTTATCAACGAATCCACATCCACAATGAGTCCGCCTCAACGCTCGCCAAGGCCTGGACGTCCGTCCAATAAAGACTAAACATCCTAAAGGGAGAGAGACAGTTGTCTGTGATCACAGTCCCTGCTCCTGATGAGTAGGATATTTTCTAGTATATCAGCTGATCGCTTGACTGTCACATGATCAGTCAGCTGACTATTTTTAACATGTCATATGATCATATATTTTGGATAATCAGAGGACCAATCAATCATTTATTGATAAGAGCCAGAGACAGTCTTGTCACCATCCAAAACGACATGATCTTCATCTGAACCACCATCGAATTGTTCCTCTCGTTTACGCTTGTGACACAAAGCCACCATGGCGTTCTCCAGTTGAAGCTCTAATTGTTTGATGCGTGTTGTCTTCTCGTCATCATCACCGTGCCAGTTCTTCTCGAAATCCTGTGGCTGCATTGGGTGTGTGAAGAACCTCTCTACTCTTGTAGTATACTCATCAGATTGTAAGTTGTCCTTGATATCAGAGAAGTACATGCGGTAGTTTATCCAGGCAGGGTATTCTTCTGGTATACCAAGTGTGATGTTCTCCAAGATCTGGATTGAATTCTTTGCCCATGTCTTGTATATATTGAATATATTTATGAGTACCTTTCTACAAGTTTCGTTGCATCCTTCTTTCAATGCATAGTCTATCATCACATCTGTATTTGTGAAGTCATTATCTGGCTGGCATCCAAAAGAGTTTCTTTTTGTAAATTCGAAAGGAATGTGTAATCTTATTCCACAAGGTGGAGTGGCAGAAGATACTGAATAGGACATAGGAAGTTTATATATATATATTTATCTCTATCTCATCTCTTCCAAACAATACTTTTTAATTCAATACCATTTGAACTATTGCTTCCAACACTCAGAGTCCGATCTGGAAAGGTGGGTGAGCGGGGTGATCAATCGTCTGAGGAGAGTGTATGGAGTAAGAGTATGTAAACGTATCAGATAGTGTGGGATTGGCATCAATGTCTAATTTCAATTTCCTTGGACAGGTACATTATAATATAAAAGGGTTGGGAGTTGGGTTGTTGCGTACCGCCGGAATGGTTTGGAACATGCGCTGCTAGGCACATGTAGGAGGGTTTTTTGTTTCGTCACAGCCACGATTGTGGCCATGACTCCACGACGAGTCGAAGATATCATATGATAACTCCTGCATTCCGGCGGTCGCTTCAGATTAGCTGAGATGATTTTCATTAAACGAAGTAAGGCGATTACCTTTGTGCACCCGGGTCCCCAAACAATCATTGACAACTCATCAAATAATAACCAAGATGAATAACCTTTGAAAATTCGATTATGGGATGAAATCCAAAGAAATTCTGATTTTTCAAGAACATATAATTGTACATTAACTGTTTAAACAGTGTTTGATTTAATAATTTGTTAACAATGACCACCATTGTGTCCTCCTCCTCCATATCCATAGTGACCTCCACCTCCATGGTGGTAACCTGATCCATATCCTCCATGATTATATCCTCCATGATTATGACATCCATGATGATGTCCTACTTGACCATGGTGTAGCTGAGAGTCATAATAGACTCCTTCTCCATAGTATCCTCCTCTGTGATGTCTACGACCTTGATGACAAGGTTCATGATGTCCATAGTGATGATGATGACCTGGTACGTTTCCCATTACTTTGTACCTAATTTTATCTCTAATTATTACTATTCATTTAGTACTTAATAAAGTTAATAATGATAGATAAATATATTTAGAACTTATTATATTAATAGACTTCTCCTTTTTAAATTTACCTCCCTCTTTGCACAAAAAGAAAGTTATTTCCATATTTAGACAAGTGTTGTATGGACCATCCATTTATGAATGTTAAAGTGATTATTCTCAAAACACTTAGGGAATGGATCTAAAAGTATGTCGATCTAGTTAAGGACCTTTTTTTATGTATTTAATGAAACTTAGTTTAAAGGTATATGAAAAACCGTAACTTCCGTTGTTATTGCTAGAAAACAGTTGTAAAAACTTAAATTTTCATCAAGTCAGGATGGTGTAGTTGGTTATCACAAAACCTTAACACGGTTTGGGTCATGGGTTCGATTCCCATTCTTGATAAATCCTTTTTTGAACTTTTGAATTTTTTTTTATTTGTTTGAAAACTCGTTGTTATACGAGTAGAAAAAATATGTTCCAATATTAAATGTTATTATTATTGTAATATCTACACAAATTTATAATTATATATTTATAGATCAAAAAAATTAATACCTTGGAAAGAGTTTAATTAGACAAGTAATAACTATTTAGTAATTTATATAATACCATTTCTTTTATTTTTTTATTACATTAATCAATTACTCAATTTAAATAACACGTGTCCTTTCAAAGAATCTTGAAATCCTATTATTGGTTGATTGATCATCACTTTGAGTGTGTGTGTTTTGTAGATGGTATTATAGATATAAATAAAGTGAGCTCCGATCGGACAACAGAATCAGCTACATCGATGGCTGCAGCAACTCCTCTGTCAATACTTGTCTCTGCCTCAACATCGACCTCAACAGACCAGTTCATAGCCAAGACTCTTGACACAAATCTTCGATTCCAACGTGCCAAGACAGCATCAAACAAGACACTCTACAATGATGTACTTACCAAAGGTAGGTTTAACAAGTCTATGCAAGTCAGTGTCACGTGACACAGTCATGTGACTCAAGTCAGCTGACATCAATCACCTGACCTGACCTCAATTAATCACCTGACACAACTCAATCAAACAGCTCTAAAGATATGCTTCGAAGACAATAGCGTTGAAAAGGTTGGCGCACTGAAAGCTGTGATGACAGAGGTGGAGACAGTGGTGGTAACAGACTCTCCAGTGTGTGGATACTTGCTATATATGTTGGCGGATGCATGTCGTCAGCTGACATTGTATACAGACGCGCTCAACGCAGCCAACCACTCACTCAAGATCAGAGAGACGCTGTATGGCCAGGACAGCATCGAGGTCAGCACATGTCTGGACCTGCTCGTTGGTATATCGATTGCTGCCAACGCACTCGACCATGCCGTGTCATTGTTTGTGCGCTCATTCAAGTGCAATGTGTTTGGGTCGTACGCGACGTACGCTCAGCTCAGCACCAGCATCGCACGCTTCAAGGCCACACTATTGGAGCGTGAACAACCATTCCTCGCCATCAAGATGTTGGCACAGACATCAGAAGTGCTACAACAACAACTACTACAGTCGATACAACAACAACAGCAACAGCAACAGCAACAACAGATTGATACATCGGCACTGTGTAGCACACTACTTGGCACGCTGCTGGACCGTGCCGACCTGTATGATAACAAACTGAATGAATACCAGTCGACAATAGAGTGTTACGAACTCATCACAACACTCAAGGGCATTCCATCAAAGTAAGGTCACTCACTCATTCGCTCAATCGTTGGAACTATCCCACTCACTCACTCAATCAATCAATCAATCAATTCAGAGATGTAGGACATGCATATGAGTTGATCATACAGACATACTTTAAGGCTGGACGATATGATCAGACAAAGGATAATGTGGCAAAGTACTTGGAGATGGCTACAAGATGCTTCAAAGTGAACTCGGTCGACATGGCCATGGCATTGTTATACTGCGCGCGATTAATGGAGGAGCAGGCCGACCGCCCCTCACCTACACGATTGTGCGATCAAGTGGATGCACTTCGATACTACTTGTGCACGTTGAAGATTGCTCGAGAGACACCTGGTGGCATTGTGTTGCGAGATCTCCCATCAGACACGCCCTCCGCAACACAAAAGACATTACGCGACAAGGTCGAGACAATCCTATTCAACAACCGACCATTGCGTTTGGAAGAGGTGGCCAACATGGTGGACAGGATGCTTCAGATCACGACGACCGAGTTCCTGCTCAATGGCCAGCGCTCGCAGAACTGGCTGCTCAAGTACCTGTATCCAGACTTCATCGCAGAGGACGCGCTGCGCGAGAAGGCCGAGACGCTGCCGGCCAAGTGCGGCCCGCTGTCCAAGCTGAATGGCCTGATGAAGAGTTGGAAGCAGATGTGGTTCACACTCAACCGAGAGTCATTGTCGTACTACAAGAGCAATCAGGATACAAAGCCCAAGGGTGAGCTGAGTCTGTTGGAGATCAAGTCGATTGAGGTCATCGTGTCCAAGGAGAAGAAGATGAAGCCGCAGACACACTGCTTCCAACTGGTGCATCCAAAGCACACGTTGGTGTTGGCGGCCGAGACCGAAGAACAGATGCGCGAATGGATCACAGTTCTAAACAAGGCCAAACAATATTGGGAAGAATGGTGGAGTACCAACCTTGTGATTGAAGGGGCGTGACGTAATATTGGTCAATCATACAATCAATCAATTAATCAATCAAATACAATGTACATAATATCTTTACATTTTAGGGTCACACTGATGTGTTGGACTGGGGTCATCACTGGGTCCCAGTGATTGCCCACACTTCATCACTTTGCTGATCTTAATTTTCATTAATCTTGAGTCCCATGCAAGCATGGCTCATTCATCACTTCAATGATTCATTCAATCACTTCATTCTATTCATTAACTTATCATTTATTTATTAACAGATACTAATACATTACATTATATTATACAACATGAGCAACAGTGTATCAAGTCCAGTTGGAAAGGTTGGAAATGCCAACTTCCCCGTCGATGAGAATGGTGTAGTATACCACTTGGGTGTAGCCAACAATGGATGTAAGTTACTCATTCAATCAGTCAGTTTGATTGATCGAGTGATCGAGTGATCCAAGTTGATACTTTGATTGAGTGATTGACCCTTCCCCATCATAATCATCATCATCACCAATCAGTGGCACAGAGAGTATTGACAGTTGGAGATTATGGACGTGCAAGCAAGTTGAGAGATAAGCTGTTGGAACAACCAGTGAAGACAACTGAGCATCGTGGCTTCCATATACATACTGGTACATACAAGGGTGTGAGAGTGTCGATTGTGTCAATTGGCATGGGTACACCGATGATGGACTTCCTCGTGCGTGAGGGACGCTTCGTCGCAGTGGGCCCCATGGCAATCATCCGTTACGGCACTTGTGGTTCGCTGCGTGACGTGCCCGTCGGCTCACTGGCCATCGCCAAGGACTGCGTGCTCATTCGTCGCAACCCAGATCATTGGCACCCAGAGGGCAAGGACGCCCAGCCCTACGACATCTCCCTGCCATTCGCAGGCGACAGCGCACTGATTGGCAACTTGACCACGGCCTTCCAGAAGGGCGAGGGTCTAGAGGGACGTCAGGTGGTCGTCGGCACCAACGCCACAGGCGACAGCTTCTACAGTAGCCAGGGTCGCCAGGACGCCAACTTTGACGATCACAACCAGGACCTGATCAACAAGCTGATGCAACGCTATCCCGAGGCATCCACACTGGAGATGGAGACCTTCCAGCTGTACCATCTGGCCACGCGATCCAAGGAACCAATCAAAGCAGCAGCAGCCACCATCATCCTTGCCAATCGTGTTGACAACACCTTCCTCGACAACGACACCAAGTCAGCACTTGAGATTGCTGGTGGACGTGCCTGTCTCGAGGCTTTAATCAATACAACTCTATAACATACTCATTCATATTCATTCATTCGTTCATTCATTCATTCATTGTGTGTCTCTGACTCAACCACATACCCCCCTCACTCAATCACACCCTACCGGTCGTTCGTCAATGGGGGTGGTGATCAAAGCAAAGCAATCTTGAACATTACATTACATCTTCATTATTTGATTGAATAACATATACATATAATATATATATACGTATTCAAACATATAATATACATATACATATACATTACATAACAGATACAGATACAGACACATAGATATAGAGATGGAACTGTTATGGCTACTACCATTGATGGTCGGTGCTGTGCTGTGGGCCGCAGCAGATGTTATATCAGATGGTGTCATTGGTGAACATAGTCCATCGACAATGAAGTCAAGCTCAGATCAATCTGCCTCATCCGATATCGAGGCTGCGACACAGGTGCTCGACTTGCTGTCCGACACCAAAGAGGACACGATGCGAACAAAGCGCGAGAAGGATGGTGGCGGCAGCGCGCATCACAAGGACAAAGACAGCGACACCAAGTTGTCGGGCGAACAAGACGCGCTCATCTCGGGCGCCGTCATGCTGCTGTGCGGTGCCTTCCTCCACTACTATTACGGCACTGCGCACATTGTCAGCTTCTACGCGCACGACCACATGGCGCCCAACGGCCTGCCGATGATCCCACCCAACACTGTGTACATCGCGGCGTTTGTCTCGGGCATCTTCCAGGCATTCTCACTCATCTACTTGCTAAAGGCATTCGAGTCGTCGTCGTCGACGATCATCGTGCCGCTCATGCAGCTCAACTCGCTGTTTGTGTTGCCCATGAGCATCGTGCTGTCCGTGCTCAGCCACTACTTCCCCACGCTCAGCACGTTCGACCAGATCATCTCGCCTGTGCACTTCCTGGCGTTCGTGCTGATCTTTATCGGCGGCTTCTACCCGGCGATCGAGGGCGAGTGGAGCCAGTTCTCGCGCTCCTTCTGGCGCCAACCAGCCGTCACGCAGGTCATCCTCTCGGACTTCCTCATTGCGATCTACTACCTCATCGTGTCGTTCTGCACCAACGAGACGGGTGGCATGACGTCCATGTCGTTCCTTGTCATCTCGATCTACGGCAACGCCACGACCTTCCTCTTCCTCGTGGTCTTTGTCGGACGTTACCGACGCTCGGCCAACGAGCTGCTGGTCATGCGTCCGAAGTACATACTGCTGTCGTCACTGGGCGAGATGTTCTCAATGTCTGGCTACTTCTTTGTATCGATCTCCTACCATCTATATTACAACAGTGGCGTTGTCAGCGCCACTGAAGGCGCGCTCAATCAACTATTCAACCTGCTTCTGGCCATCTTCCTCAAGAAAGTCTTCAACTTTGGACGCGAAGTCAAACGAATCAGAGAGAAGCTATACTCTTGTGCCATTGTATCTGTTGGACTTGTACTCACGTCGACCTAAGGTCCACTCTCCCCTTCCCTTCATCATCCCATATCTTACCATTCATTCATTCAATCAATCAATCACCTCGGACACGATGTAGTTGGACGACAATCAAGCTGAGGCACGCGACAATTCAATCAACCGATCGATCAATCATCCAATCAAACAAACTATCAACCAATCAATCACCTGCTCTTGGCTCACACATTGGCCAGCCGCCAGCCCGCCAGACCATCGCGACCAATAAAGAGCACTCCTATCCAATGATCTTCTGAATGAAGGAAGAGCTTGGAAGTATGTATTAATCAATCAATAACATATTTAGTAAGTAATAATAGGTGTTCATGAGCTTGGATTGGGAAGGCGACACTCTTTGGTCAAACACTTCCGTCCAATCATAACTGCGTGTAGTGGATGGTGGATGGTGGATATTGGAAGCTGGGGGGATAACGCGCGCAGGGGGGGTTCGTCTAGACGAGTGATGATGCACTGTTCTGCTGAATGAACTTCTCGAAATGCGACTTGGCCACCTGGATGTTGAGCAGCGTGGCGGAAGACTCGATGGTTTGATCGGACATGATGACCATGATGTAGGTGTTGGACGTGAAAGCATCAATGTAAGCGGCAAAGTTAGAGTTCCTGACCTCCATGGCCTGGAAGTTGGCCTGTGACTTGGAGCAGCTGAGGAAGAACTGCTTGATGATGGTGCTGATCTTCTCGAATCTGTGTACATCCTTGTGCTGCTTGCGGTGAGAGTGCGAGATCACCAGGAAGGTGGCCTTCTCAAACAGGACGACCTCGTCGGCCTCGCAAATCTTACAGAACTTGTCCAGGTGACGCTCCAGCACGTTCACGTTGGGAATCAGTGAGTAGACGATCGATGACCAGGCCTTGTACAGCGTCTCGTCCCAGATGGACGTGCGGAAGCACGTGACCTTGAGTGGGAGCGACAGCTGCTTCAACTCGGTCTCGCGCTGTCTGAAGAGGTTGTCGCGCTGGTCCTCGGGCACCAGATCCATTTTGTGCACCAGACAGAAGATCTTGGCGTCCTTGGAGTTCTGGAGGATGGCCTCGAGACACGACTTGTAGTTCTTGAGATCCTTCTGATGCTCGCGGCTCTCAATGTCAAACACATAGATGAGCACCTCGACATTCCTAAAGATATGATCGCGCTGTGTTGTAAGATAGCTCTCAACAAAGCTCTCCTGTCCACCACAATCCCAAAGGTTCAGTACCAAGTTTCCAAGGAATCTAACATGTGAATGTTCGACATCGACTATAATAATATTTGATTGATTGTGTCAGCAATAGTCCAAGAAACCTGTTGTTGTCCTAATCTTTGATTGATCGATCGCCATTCGTTAACATACTTGTAACACCCAAACGCATTGTGTCTCTGGCTATATAGTTGGCAAAGATGATTGATCTCATCGAAGTCTTTCCAGACTCACTCCTGCCCATCAACAAAACCTGTCATTATGAATGAATGAATGATTGAATGAATGAATGAGTGAGAATGTCCTTTGGTTATTGTTCACACATTATGTTTGATCCTACCTTTCTCTTCATTGTTTATATTGTATGTTGTGTTGTTATATATATAAATATAACTATAATATAATAATGTGAATGAGATTGACGATTGTAATTGTAAAGAACAAGAAGAAGACTCCTTCAACCACTCTCTCTCTCACCTCTCTCTTTGACAAACACAACCCCTCTTGCAATCAAAAAAATAAATAAAAAGAAAAGAATCTCACTCAATGGGACAACAGACACTCACTTTGTCGACTCCAACAATAATTCATTGATCAATGCAAGTTGTGAGCAAAGAAGAGGAGATGATAAAAGTCCACTTTGTTGGAAGATCTAACCTTAATGGTCTCAGCATCCAAACCAACCAAACAATCAAACAAACTCTTATCACCATTGAATGAATGAAGGAATCGAAGGGACCTATGAGGATGTCAAGAATGTATGAATAATTGAATGAAGGAATCGAAGGAACCGAATGAGATGGTAATGAATGAGAGTGAGAGAGATAAGATAGATAGTATGATTGGAGACCTGACGGATTTGGTGTTGCCGAGGGTCAGTTGAACTCTGATGATGGTGTTTTGAAAAAACATCAACACTGAGTTGGATGAAGAGGGTTCCGATCCGAATACCTTTTGGAAAAATGTGTGGAAGAGTAGACGAGTTGGGACGCCCCATCAACCAATGCGACCTAATAATACTTTATCAAGGTTGTTGGATGTGAGTGAGTGATTTAGGTGAGTGAGTTGGTGAATGAGCCAGGGATTTGCTTGCATTTCATTCATTGTTTACTTACACATATTCACACTTATACACATATTTGATACTTGGTATCGATCACTTATTATTAATAATCATTACCAAATCAGATCACATACCGACTTACCCCGATAGCCATAACACTAACCTTTTTAGGACAATCAATTCGATCAGTCAATCAAAAAGACACTCACTCACACACTGATTGATCACAACCCCCACTCACACGCCGTCAGTCAACCAAACATCAGCAAAGACCAAAAAAAGAGAGTTCCAATCACAACACCACCGTCAATCAATCAATCAATCATTCAGTCAAACATTATTATTATTATTACTATCACAACAACAACAAACAAACAAATAATATATATATAAATATATAATATAATACTTATTTATTTATGGAGGCAATAATGGATAAATCAGAGAAAGAGATTATCGACCTGCAAAAGGAGATATTGGATATTGAGAAGAATCAGACGGCGATCAAGGAGAAGGGCGTGAGCTTCAAGGAACAGATAAATGTTGGCTTTAGACATTTGGACGATATATGCAACACGCTGGCCAAGCAGGAGAAGGAGTCGTCGCGCCTGCAGGCGCGTCTGGCCGCCCTGCCCAAGTCCAAGGAGAGCGCCGAGCTCGCCGCCAAGCTGAGCGGCCTGCGCGCCTCCATCCGCCAGTCCAAGAAGACGTTCACGCCCGAGACCGGCGGCATGTTCGTGCGTCTCTTCCTGGGCCAGGTCAACGTGAAGCACTACCGCGAGGGCGAGCGCTTCCGCCTCAAGACCGAGTACGAGAAGTTCCGCTTCAAGACCAACCCGCAGTTCCTCGGCTTTGTCGCGCTGCTCCTCCTGTTCCCCTACAGCTCGTTCGTCACCACTTCGTGGCAGATCTGGCTGCTCTACTACTACGTGACTTTGGCGCTGCGCGAGAACATCTTGCTGGTCAACGGCAGCTCGATCCGTCCCTGGTGGATCATGCATCACTACCTCTCTATTGCCGGCTCGCTCACCAACCTCCTCTGGCCCTTCTCCGACTCATTCGCCTACTTCCTGCCTCAAATGACCTACTTCTCTGGCGCGCAAGGTCTAGTCCAGTTCCTTGCCAGTCGTTATCAACAAGGTCAACTCTACAAGCTCACTGCGATGGGCAAGGCGACAATAATGGATGTATCTGGTGAGAATGTAAGTTTGAATGATCATCGCGATGGACTCGGCCCTGGACTAACATCACCCGCTCAAACAAACAGATACAAGGTCATGGATGGGCACCAAGTGCACTGTTCTTGTTGCCATTCCTGTTGTTTGTACAGTCATTCCAACTATACAATGGTATCACATTCTTGTATTACTGTTTCACTCATCAGGGTATCGAGTGGCAGGTGATTGCCTGTGGCATCATATTCATCCTGCTTGGCGTTGGCAACTTCATCACAACAATGCAGACCTACTACTCCAAATGGCTTAACAAGAAACAGAAGAAGTCACAATAGATCAATCAATCGATCAATCAATCACAGACATCATCCGACATGGAACAACAATGTACCGCCTTTCCAATCCTCAACATCAATCACTCAACCAAACACTCACTCAATCAATCTATCATGTCGTATTACCATCTCGTGACTACTATAAAGGGTCACGTCAACCAACATCAACATCAACATACACATCCACATCCATCCATTCATTCATTCATTGATGGGCCATCGATGGCCATCATTCGTCGCGCGCACCAACAGCTGGTAGGGCTGTCTAAATAAACAGATGAGAGGGGAGAGTGAGTGATCGTCTGGTCGTCCGGCCTGTGAAGGGCAGGTCGCCAGAGCCTCACACTCACAACATAGATAATACACAACTAAGGCTTCATAAGTTATAATAGCTAGCTTCTGCCGACTAAATGTCGGACAACTAGTTGATTCATTCTTTCTTTGACAAGCATGCCTTGACGACGTTGAGCACCTGTCCACTGGTGATGAGTTTGTTGACAGCCTCAATGTCGGGCTGGAGGAAACGGTCACGCTCCATGAACGAGACCTTTGAACGCACAAGACGATAGACAGCCTCGAGTGGCTCGGTGGTCTTGTGTGGGCGAAGGAAGTCCAGCGCCTGGATGTTGGCCAGCAGCTCGATGGCCAGCACGTTCTCGACGTTATCGACGACCATCAGAGCCTTGCGAGCAGACCAGCCACCCATGGACACGTGGTCCTCTTTGGCGGCACTGGTGCTGAGCGAGTCGACTGATGCTGGATGGCACAAAGTCTTGTTCTCCGAGACGAGTGCGGCGGCAGTGCAATGGGCAATCATGTATCCAGAGTTGAGACCTCCCTCCTTGACAAGGAAAGCTGGCAGGCCGCTGAGGTGGTGGTTGACCAGACGCTCGACACGACGCTCACTGATGCTGGACAGCTCGTGCACAGCGATTGCCAGGTAGTCGAGCACCTTGGCGGGGTACTCGCCGTGGAAGTTGCCTCCAGACATGGTTGTGTTCATGCTTGTGAACACCATTGGGTTGTCAGTGGCGCTGTTGAGCTCTGTGGTGAGGATGCCCTCAACAAAGGTGATGGTGTCGCGAACAACTCCGTGCACTTGGGGGATGCAGCGCAGTGTGTAGCTATCTTGGACGCGTCCACAGTCGCGATGGCTCTCTGAGATCTCTGAGCGGAAGCCGCCCTGCTCCTCATTATGCAGGAGAGAGCGCATAAAGGCAGCGACGGCCTTTTGGCCAGTGTGTGGACGGGCCTCATGGATGGCTGGGTGGAAGGCCACGACGGTGCCCTTGAGCACCTCGAGAGTGATGGCGGCGATAATGTCGGCGGTCTCGGCGAGCACCTTGCTGCGCTGCAAGGCTTCGGAGCCGAGCGACGAGATGAGCTGTGTGCCGTTGATGAGTGCCAGACCCTCCTTTGCCTTTAGGTCGATTGGTTGAAGCTTGTGTGCGGCCAGGATATCGCCGGCGTTACCAACAAGGCCAGTGGAGCAGTCCAACATTGGACCCTCGCCCATCAATCCTTGGGCGAGATGTGCGAGTGGAGCGAGATCGCCCGATGCGCCCACCGTACCCTTCTCTGGAATCAATGGCAAACAGTCGGCATTAAGTATATTGATTGCGCGCTGCACCGTCTCCAATGATATTCCACTGTATCCCTTTGCCAACACATTGATTCTCAATGCGAACAGCATCCTTGTTCTTGCTGGAGTCAAAGGTGTACCAACACCACTTGAATGTGATCTAATAAGGTTCTCTTGTAGTCTATCATCATCATCATTCAAGTCAGTATCATTCAATCATTCAATTATTCATTCGATCAATCATTCAAACTTACAACTTGATCTGATCATTTGGGATTGTCACATCGGAGAAGAGACCAAAGCCAGTGTTGATACCATAGACAACTTTGTTTGAGGCCAAGATGTTATCGATGACTTCACGACCCTTTATAATGATTGTTTCGACCTCTGGAGTAATGCGCACCTTGTATCCATTATATCCAATATTGACCAAATCTTGAATTGACAAGTTATATCCATCAAGATTGATGTATGATGTTGTAGTTGTAGTTGACATCTTATAGTATAATTATATGTTTGAATAAATAATGAGTATATATATATATGTATATATTCGGAATGAATGAATGAATGAATGCAATGAGATAGATTGATTGAATGAGCTTCGGACACTTCGCTTGTTTTGAAATTGAACACATCAACAACACATTGATTCTTACACATTGTTTTCTCTCGTTTGGTGATAAATTGAATAAAAATGTGGGGTGACAAGTGGGATTCTAACTTGTTTGGGAACTAACTTCGCAGTCGTGTCGGGCATCCAATCCGAGATACTTTGTGGGTTGTGTGTTGGCAACTAACACATGACTTGACATAAGTCTATGACATGTATTGTTTTGTTATCAACCATCAATGGAACCTTTATAGATATAACAAACAGTGTAATTGAATGATTGGAATAGTTCCAATTTTCATGGAACGAGTGATCGATTGAGAAGTTTGACACTCTTTTTGTAATAATAATAACAATCAAACAAATATAGATAAATATAGGTAAATATATATATATATATATATATATATTGATGGACAGATTATCAAATTTAGTTCTTAGACAGATATTCGATCATTTGAGGGAGGATAAAGATGATCATTTCAATGCATTGTGCTTGGGAATCACTTGTAGACGTCTGTTTGATATGATGTACAAATGGATGACAGAGGTTGACGTCAATCATTGGGACAGAACACTGTACAATCATTGCAAACCAACAATGTCAATAACGTTGTATGATGATGATGAAGTGTCGAGTAATGCAATGATGGAACATCCATTGAATCCATTGGACAATCTTGAGAAGAGACCTTCGTATGAGTGCCTGACCGACCTCACCATCAATGTTTACAAACAATCAGTCTCACCCGATCGCCTGCCCCATCACTCACTCGTCTGACGGTCTCTTCCGGTCTCAAGTCTGGCCCCCTGCCCTCATCGATCACAAGTCTGAGCGTTGGCAATCTTTTACAGTCATTCAACATTGGCGATCTGCCACCATCTCTTCGCACAATGGACGTTCAATTCGGTACTAGTTGTCCGATCCTACCTCGTACGCTCCCATCGTCACTCGTCTCATTGACACTCAAGCTCCATTCTCCACTTTTATTATTAATACTGTGCCCCTGCTGATGCCCGGTTCACTGCCCGATTCACTTGAGACACTTATACTAGATAGTTCAATCATTTATCCGTTGCAACCTGGATTGTTCCCATCATCTCTGACATCAGTGATTCTTGGGGGTGTTCAACTTCTCGATCCACCAACTCCTGGCGATCTGCCCTCATCGATCACATCACTAGAGTTTGACTGGAACTTTGATCGTGCCCTGGGCATGGATGTGCTGCCCTCCTCGCTAAAGACACTACGTTTTGGCAACAATTACAATCAGTATTTCTATCCTGGCGTGCTACCACAATCACTCCAGTCATTGTACTTTACCAAGGATGGCAAGTTCAATCAACCTTTTGCACCGGACGCGCTCCGCCTCGCCTGGTCACACTCTCATTGTTGTCGAGATTCGACAAACCAATCATTCATGGATCATTACCCAACAGCCTGGCGACACTGGAGTTTGGGGACAATATGAAAACGATTCATCTTGGTACATTACCGGCATCGCTCACCTCTCTGTCATATGGGCAGAATTTAAACTTCATAAGTATAGTAGTATACCCTGATCATGGTCAAAATGTATTTCCACAATCACTCCAGACATTGAGCATCGGTTGTGCATGGTATTACGGTGATCTTCCTGCACTTCAGACCCTACCATCAAGTATGACATCACTGTCAATTCAACTCGACAACAATGACCACCCCCTTGCATTACTGCCGCGTTCATTGACCCACCTTGACCTTGGTGATCGGTTCAACAAACCGATCACACCTGGATCATTGCCAGAAACACTTGTGAATCTCACTTTTGGAAATGCATTCAACCAGGCTTTGCCTGTCGGTGTGTTGCCAGCATCACTGGTCGACCTTTCATTTGGCAATATATTCAACCAACAATTGACCAAAGGAGTGTTGCCATCTTCACTCACATCACTGAATCTGGGACGTGATTACAAACAAAGTGTAGGTCATACTTTATTGCCTGGTACACTACAAACACTTTCAGTGATCTGGCGGACACAGATCAAGTACATCATTTCACCAACAACATCGTCATCCGAGTCGGCCGATCTTGAGTTGTTGGAGATCAGGGTACCCTTTGTTTGGACGGACTTGGTAGCCAAGAGCAAGGCACGTTCAATCAAGTTGTTGCGAATCAAACTATTTCTGAAGAGGAACTCGACTGGTGAGGCCGAGGTTGTCGGTCCAATCATCGTGTCATTGCCCAACGTACACTCGTTCAACATCGACTTTGTCTATCCGCACAACAAACGTGGATCTTATCCGAACATGAAGGAGTTCCAAGTCCAAGCTCGTCGGATCAACGAACGACTGGTCATATGCAACATGATCTTCAATGATAGCCAAAAGTTAAGAATACTAGACTTAACTCCATATATTACAATCAAACAATCACAATCACAATCTTAATTTTAAAGTTGAATGATTGATTGATTCGAATGAATGATTCGAATGAATGAACGTTCATATGACATGAGCACAAGCAAGGTTGGTTGTTGGGGGCTTGGCTGTTTGAGTCAGGAAGGTCACGATGCTACTATTTCAAGACAGCTGCTCACTGATTGTGTGCATGTTGTTGTAGACACTGTGTTAGCATAGGTGTTGTTGTTGACTGGACTGTTCACAAGTGATTGATTGATCAGGTGTGTGTTAGATTGAAATGACGTTGTCATTGCTCGAGAGTGTGGCTGTAGTGGCTACAACATGTAGCCCAGGGTGGGTTACTGAGTCGACAGAATGTGAAAGGATGCTGACACCTTGAAGAATGAAAAAGGGCGGGAAGAGTGATGGAATGGATGAACTGTATGGGACGAGATGAAAACGAACATTATTCAAGGCATCAACTTAAAGATAGAGAGATAGAGATAAAGATATAGAGATAGAGAGAAGGAGGGCAAGGCCAACATAATGGATAGACTATCATATTTAGTTATTAGACAGATATTCGATTATTTAAAGGATGATCATTTCAATGCATTGTGCTTGGGCATCACTTGTAGACGTCTGTTTGATATAATGATCAAACGTATGACTGTTGTCAAGATGAATCATTGGGACAAGTCATTAGAGCTGTACAGAGATTGCCACCCAACAATGTCAATATCATTGAATGAACTTCGCCATCTTGAGAAGTTGCCTTCCTACGAACGCGTTGTTGACCTGACCATCACTTCAGGCGATCACCATAGTGATGTGGCCACTCCTTATGATCTCCATCCCTCACTCGTCTAAGTCTCCTCAACAAATACGACAACATTCTCATGCCTGGCCAGATGCCATCATCGATCACCAATCTTATCCTTCACGATCATGCCAAGTCATTCAGAATTGGAGAACTGCCACCAGCTCTCTCAACATTGTCCATCATTGGCTTCAAGAAAATGTGGACTTCCAGCCTCGAACACTGCCATCATCACTAGTCTCATTGACCCTCACTTCCTATGACCGATCACTTGATCAAGGTGTACCACTGCTGATACCCGGTTCACTCCCAGACTCACTGGAGACGCTTTCAATTGAAGGCGCAATCATCAAACGGTTGAAACCTGGATTGCTCCCATCTTCGCTCACATCACTGAAGCTTGACGATCTTAATACCCACCGACACTTGGCGATCTACCTTCATCGATCACATCACTCGAGTTCTTGCATCATTTCGACCATCCGCTGGGCGTGGATGTGCTGCCGTCGTCACTCCAGACGCTACACTTTGGACACAACTACAATCAACCATTCGTACCTGGAGTGCTTCCACAATCACTCAAGTCATTATACTTTGCAAAGGGAAAATTCGATCAATCATTTGGACTGGATGTGCTTCCACCTCAGCTTACATCACTCTCAATAATGTCCACTTACTACCACCGAGAATTCATTCCTGGATCATTGCCCAACAGCCTGGTCACTCTTCAGTTTGGAGAACATTATAGCAGGGTTAATTTAGATGTGCTCCCAACATCCCTGACTTCTCTGACATACGAGGATAAGAGTACCTTCTATTTATCTTATTCTTATGATTTTTATACAAATCGTCCACGTGTCTCGTGGCCACCTACACTCAAAACAATGGTCGTTGGCGATCTGTGGCATACTCACTCTTCTCGCGTGCCGATACCCATTCCATCAAGTGTTACATCATTGTCAATTCAACTCGAACGCCAGGACCAACTTATATTACTGTCGCCAGCCTTGACCCATCTCGACCTTGGACACACTTACAACAGTCCGATCACACATGGATCATTACCTTCATCACTTGTCCATCTCACGATTGGAAATGCATTCAATCAAGTGTTGCCAGTTGGAGTGCTACCGGCTACACTGGCCGACCTATCACTTGGCGATAAATTCAACCAGGCTTTGCCGACTGGAGTGTTACCATCATCACTCACATCTCTCAGCCTGGGACGTGATTACAAACAAGGAGTGAAACAACTATCATTACCAGGAACACTACGAACTCTGTCAGTGGACTCGCGGGGCCAGACCAAGTACGTCACATCAACAACTTCATCATTCAAGTCTGACCTCGATTTGTTGGAGGTGAGGACTGGATTCTTTTGGACAAACATGGCCACAAAGAACAAGGCCATTCCAATCAAGTTGTTGCGAATCAAACAGTATGAGAGAGCAAGTGCGACCAGCCAAGCCCATATCATCGGACCAATGGTTGTGTCATTCCCCAATGTACATACGTTCGATGTCACCTTTTATAATCATTATAGACCCAGCATTGAAGAGCGTATTTTCCACCACGCTCCAAAGATCTCTCCTAGCAGCGTATTATACCGAATCCAAGTACGCCGTATCTACCAAAAACTTGCCATTTGCCTAAAACACAACCAAAGTTATTATATCGATGTTCCTAAATCTTGTATGAAAATACTAGACTTGTCTCGATACGATGGTAGTCGTCCTAGTCCTTCTGTCAAGTCTCATTCTACATTACCCGAGCCAGTCAATCAAACACCAGAGGATGAAGTTAACAATCAATCATTAATTGAATAAATGGATGAATGCATTCTAAATATTTGGCGGGTTGAAGTCTGGAAGGTACTCTGGTTCTGGTCCTGCTATTAAGCCTCAACAACTGTTGATAGAGTATATTGACTGTTCCATAAAGGTACACACTGCAACTGCAGGGGGTTGTTGACTATTCACTGTGAAGTGATTGATCAGGTGCTTGTGGGTGTGGTTATTTGATTGATTGATTGAGTGTGGGCATGAGTGGCGGCAGTGGCACCAATATATATTAATGGAGTCCTGCTCTTGACATAGCTTTGATGTCGAGAGTATATGAATGTAAATGTTTGAATGAGTTACTCACCAACTTTATCAAACAAACCATTCCATATCAATCAATTTATAAAGAAACATAAAGAATAAGATAGAGAGATAGAGATAGAGAAGAAGTCAAGGCCAACATAATGGATAGACTATCATATTTAGTTATTAGACAGATATTCGAGTATTTGAAGGATGATCATTTTAATGCATTGTGCTTGGGAATCACTTGTAGACGACTGTTTGATATAATGACCAAACGGATGATTGATGTCAAGATGAAACATTGGGACAAGTCACTAGAACTGCACCGAGATTGCCAGTCAACAATGTCAATACCAATGTATGAACTTCGTCGTCTTGAGAAGTTACCTTGCTACCCCCGCATTATGGACCTGAACATCAATTACATCGATGAAGCAGCCACTCCTTATGATCTGCCACCATCCCTCACTCGTCTAAGTCTCCCAGACAGTTACATGCCTCGCCAGATGCCACCATCGATCACCAATCTGACACTTCGCAATAATATCAAGTCATTCTCCATTGAAGATCTGCCTCCAGCACTCACCACTTTGTACATCAGTGGCTTCAAGGCGAATTGGACTATCCAGCCTCAAACACTCCCATCATCTCTAGTCTCATTGACCCTCGCCTCCTATGGCCGACCACATAATCAACTTGAATCACTACTGATACCCGGTTCACTCCCATACTCATTGGAGACGCTTGCACTTGAAGGTTCAATCATTGGGCGGCTGAAACCTGGATTGCTCCCATCATCTCTCACATCTCTCAAGCTTGACGATCTACTTTCTCCACCGACATTAGTGGATCTACCTTCATCGATTACCTCACTCGAGTTCTTGAATCAATTCAACCTGATGCTGGGAGTGGGTGAGCTGCCGCCATCACTCCAGACGCTACGCTTTGGCTACGATTACAATCAACCATTTGTACCTGGAGTGTTTCCACAATCTCTTCGGTCATTATACTTTGCTGACGGACATTTCAATCAACCCTTTGAAATTAACGTGCTTCCGCCACAGCTGACATCTCTCTCCTTAATGTCGAGATGGAACCAATCAATCATTCCTGGATCATGGCCCAACAGCTTGGCCACACTTCAATTTGGCAAACATTATACCACGATTGAGTTAGATACACTCCCCTCATCGCTAACAGTTCTGACATACGAAGATAAGAGCGACTGCTCTTTCTTTAATTCCTTTGATTTTAATACAAAACGACTTATCTTGTGGCCATCTACACTCAAAACAATGGTCGTAGGCAATATGTGGAGATATCACACAGATCGACTGCCAATAGCCATTCCACCTAGTGTTACATCAATGTCAATTCAACTCCAACACCAAGACCATCTTACATTACTTTCCCCGTCCTTGACGCATCTCGACCTTGGACATATATACAACAGTCCGATCACACCTGGATCTTTACCTTCATCACTTGTCAACCTCATCATTGGAAAGTCTTTCAATCAGGTGTTGCCAGTTGGAGTGCTACCGGCTACACTGGCCGACCTATCACTTGGCGATTCATTCAACCAGGCATTGACCACTGGAGTATTGCCACCATCACTCACATCACTAAGTCTGGGACGCGATTACAAACAAGGATTGAAACAAACATCTCTACCTGGAACACTAAGAAGCCTATCTGTGGACTCGAGGGGCCAGACCAAGTACGCCACATTACCAACTTCATCATTCAAGTCTGACCTCGATTTGTTGGAGGTGAGGACTGGTTTCATTTGGACAAACATGGTTACAAAGAACAAGGCCAGTCCAATCAAGCTTCTGCGAATCAAACAATATATGAAATCAAATACGAGGAGCCAAGCCAATATCATCGGACCAATGGTTGTGTCATTCCCCAATGTTCACACATTCGACGTCACCTTCTACTTTAGACCCAGCAGTACAGATCGTATTTACGGCCGCCCTCCAAAGGACTCTCCCAGTGACGTAATATATAGAATGCAAGTTCGCCGTATCTATCAACAACTTGCCATTGGCCTTATATATAGTCTACGTAATTGTATCGATGTTCCTAAATATTATATGAAAATACTAGACTTGTCTCGATACGATGGTAGTCGTCCTAGTCCTTCTGTCAAGTCTCATTCTACATTACCCGAGCCAGTCAATCAAACACCAGAGGATGAAGTTAACAATCAATCATTAATTGAATAAATGGATGAATGCATTCTAAATATTTGGCGGGTTGAAGTCTGGAAGGTACTCTGGTTCTGGTGCAGCTATTAAGCCTCAACAACAGTTGATAGGTATATTGACTGTTCCATAAAGGTCCCACTGCAACTGAAGGGGGTTGTTGACTGTTCTTTGTGAAGTGATTGATCAGGTGCTTGTGGGTGTGGTTATTTGATTGATTGATTGAGTGTGGGCTGAGTGGCGGCAGTGGCAACAATATATATTAATGGAGTCCCACTCTTGACATAGCCTTGATGTCGAAAGTATAAGAATGTGAATGTTTGAATGAGTTACTCACCAACTTAATCAAACAAACCATTCCATATCAATCAAATATAAAGATACATAAAGATAGAGCTAGAGATAGATAGATATAGAGAAGAAGGCAAGGACAACATAATGGATAGACTATCATATTTAGTTATTAGACAGATATTCGATTATTTGAAGGATGATCATTTCAATGCATTGTGCTTGGGCATCACTTGTAGACGTCTGTTTGATATAATGATCAAACGTATGACTGTTGTCGAGATGAATCATTGGGACAAGTCTCTAGAACTGTACAGACATTGCCAACCAACAATGTCCATAAAATTGTATAGCCTCTACACTCTAGAGAAGATGCCTTCTTACTCCCGCCTTGTGGACCTGACCATCACTTCAGAGAATCAAACAGCCGCTCCTTTTGAGTTGCCCCCATTCCTCACTCGTCTAAGTCTCCATTCCGGTCTAGAGATCATATCTGCCCCACTGCCATCATCGATCACCATTCTGAACCTTGAAAACCAATCCCGGCCATTCAACTTTGGCGAACTTCCACTATCTCTCACCACAATGTCCATTGACGTCAAGGACAATTGGACAATCCAGCCCGGTACCCTGCCTTCTTCACTAGTATCTTTGACCCTCCTCCCAGACTTTGAGCGATTTCTTGATCCCAATGTCCCCATCCTGATACCTGGTTCACTTCCTGGATCACTGGAAACTCTTTCCCTTCAGGGTTCGATCATCGAGCGTTTGAAGCCGGGATTGCTCCCATCATCTCTCAAATCACTCAAGCTAGACGATCTTCGTGTTCCACCAACGCTTGGCGATATCCCCTCTTCGATCATATCACTAGAGTTTGGCAGTGACTTCAACCATCCTCTGGGAGTGGGTGTTCTGCCTTCGTCACTCCAGACGCTACACTTTGGCTACACTTTCAATCAGCAATTCTTACCTGGAGTGTTTCCACGATCACTCAAGTCATTATACTTTGACGAAGGACTATTCAATCAATCATTTGGACTTGATGTGCTTCCACCTCACCTGACAACACTCTCGCTGCTGTCAAGATTCAACAAAACAATCATTCCTGGATCTTTGCCCAACAGCCTGGTCACTCTTCAGTTTGGCAAGATATATGGAACCATTGATCTAGATGTGCTCCCAACTTCTCTCACATCTCTGACATACGAATTTAAGGGTACCTTCTCTTTGAGATATTCTTTTGAACTTTATACATATAGTCTACTTGTCTCGTGGCCTCCTTCACTCCAAACTATGGTCGTTGGTGATCTGTGGCGGTTTAACTATCATGAGCCCATACCCATTCCACCAAGCGTTACATCATTGTCAATTCAACTTGTACAACAAGAGCATCTTAGATTACTGTCAAAGTCATTGACATATCTTGACCTTGGACATACTTTCAATAGTCCAATCACACAAGGATCATTGCCACCATCACTAGTCCATCTGATAATTGGAAATGCATTCAATCAGGTGTTGCCAACTGGAGTGCTACCCGCCACTCTGACCGACCTTTCTCTTGGGGATACATTTAACCAGGCTTTGCCCATTGGAGTGTTGCCACCATCTCTCAAATCACTAGGTCTGGGACGTCATTTCAAGCAAGGATTGAAACAAACATCACTTCCAGGAACATTGCGAACTCTGTCAGTGGACTCACGGGGCCAGACCAAGTATGTTACTTTACCAACTTCATCATTCAAGTCTGACCTCGATTTGTTGGAGGTGAGGACTGGATTCTTTTGGACAAACATGGCCACAAAGAACAAGGCAAGTTCAATCAAGTTGTTGCGAATCAAACAATATAAGAGAACATATGAGAGGAGCCAAGCCCATATCATCGGACCAATGGTTGTGTCATTCCCCAATGTACACACGTTCGACGTCACCTTCCACATTCACCGAAGCAAAGATTCTCTTGATTTTGACCTCCCTCTAAAGTTACCAATTGATTGCGACTTATTATACAGAATCCAAGTTCGCCGAATCCACCATCAACTTGCTATTTGCCTTATCTACAATCATCATTATCTTATCAAAGATCCTAAATTTTGTTTGAGAATACTAGACTTGTCTCGATACGATGGCAGTCGTCCTAGTTGTCCAAGTCCTGCTATCCATACATTCAACCAGCAATCAATCAATTAATCATGGAATAAATCTATATATTTTGGCGGGTCTTCCTTTAAGGTCCTCTGGTACTCTTTTATTTAGTATAGCTGGTAGTGTATGTGGTTTCCCATATAAGGGCACTGGACCCCTCTATGTAGTCTGTTCAATTTGAAGTGATCAATCATAAATGTGTGGTTAACCCAAATATTTGATTGATTGATTGAGTGTATTGGCAACAAATAGGAGGGCTACTGTCATAGCAGATGATTTAAACAGAGTGTGTGATGTCGACAGTGTGTGAATGAAAGAATGGATGAATAAATGAATGATAGACTCAGTGAGGGACCAATGTATATCAAATTCTATAACACCAGAGAGATAGACATAACTAGAGAGAGAGAAGCAAGGCTATAAACATGATGGACAGACTATCACATTTAGTTATTAGACAGATATTCGAGTATTTAAAGGATGATCATTTCAATGCAGTGTGCTTGGGCATCACTTGTAGACGACTGTTTGAAATAATGATCAAACGGATGACTGATGTCGAAATGTATCATTGGGACAAGTCACTAGAACTGGACAAACATTGCAAACAAAGAATGTCCATACCAATAAATGAATTGGAGAATCTTGAGAAGATGCCTTCCTACGACCGCCTGGCTGATCTGACAATCACATACTCCTACAACGAGAAAGTCCTACCCCATCAGTTGCCCCCATCACTCACTCGATTAAGTATAACAAACAATCTCTTGCCCGGACCCTTGCCACCATCGATCACCAGTTTGACACTTGGGAATCATTTCCAGCCTTTCAATATTGGAGATCTGCCACCAACTCTAAGGACAATGTCCGTTACCTGCTCCACTGATTGGACCATTCAACCTCGCACCCTACCATCGTCACTCGTCTTCCTGAAGCTCAAACCAATCTATTACCATTACCCAACACTTAATACCAAAGTACCCTTGTTGATACTCGGTTCACTCCCCGATTCACTCGAGACCCTCGCACTAAAGGGTACCATCATAGACCAGCTGCAACCTTCATTGCTCCCATCATCCCTCACAAACCTTAAACTTGACCACCTTCTTAATCCACCGAAGCCTGGCGATCTGCCTTCTTCAATCACATCACTTAAGTTTGGCAAACACTTCAATCTTGAGCTTGGCGTGGACGTCCTTCCCCGGTCACTCCAGACACTAACCTTTGGAAAAAAGTTCAACCAGCCACTCAGTCCCGGTGTCCTTCCAAGATCACTCCAGTCATTATACTTTGTCAAAGATGGCGAGTTCAATCAACCTCTTGAGCTGGACGTACTTCCACCTCAACTGTCCAAACTATCGTTGTTGTCCAGACGCAATCAAGATTTCAGAGTCCAAGGGATATTGCCTAGCAGCATTATTACCTTGGAGATTGGAGATTCAAGCTTGATATATCTGAGTGCCTTGCCACAATCTCTCACCTCTCTGACATATGGATACAAGCGCACCTTCATAGTCCAATATGAATATGATTGTTTTAATCGAAGTCATTCCTCATTTTGGCCACCATCACTTCAAACCTTGGTTGTTGGTAATCTGTGGAATTACAGCCCGCACCATGGACATCTGCCTCTACCCCCAAGCGTGACATCATTGTCCATTCAACTTGAACTGCAAGAGCATCTTACTTTATTGTCACCATCCTTGACATACCTGGACCTGGGCAATCTCTACAACAGTCCGATCACAAGTGGAGCATTTCCATCAACACTTGTCCACCTGACCATTGGTAATGCATTCAACCAACTATTGCAAGTCGGAGCGTTGCCATCATCACTGGTCAAACTTTCATTTGGTGATGCATTCAACCAACCATTGCCCACTGGAGTTTTGCCGTCATCACTCGTCCACCTTTCATTTGGTGATTCATTCAATCAACCATTGCCAACTGGAGTGCTGCCCCCATCCCTTTCTTACCTAAGTCTGGGCCGTGAGTTCAATCAAGGATTGAAACAAACTTCATTGCCTCGATCTCTTCAAATACTATCAGTTAACACACTGAGACAGACCAAGTATGTCACATTACCAAAGTCATTCAAGTCTGACCTTGAGTTGCTGGAGGTCAGGTCAACATTTGTTTGGACAAACATGGTCCCCAAGAACAAGATGAGATCAATCAAGTTGTTGCGAATCAAACAATTCGAGAAGAGGAGTTCGTGCTCGGACAGTCAATCAAGTATAATCGGACCAATGCTAGTGTCATTGCCCAATGTGCACACGTTTGATATCGAGTTCTATGAACAACCAAGGAAAGGAGAGTTTGAAGGCGATATCCTGAAAGTGCAGTATAGGATCCAAGTTCGTCGGATCAACGAACGTCTTGCAATTGGCTTGTTCAGCTACACTCCCAACAGTTGGCCAATAAGATGTCTTCCTATACACAATGATGGTAAACATTGTATGAGGATACTAAACCTGTCTCGACACTATGTTAGTCGACAATCAAACATTAATAAATGATGAAGAATATGATCTTAATCAAATCTTTTTTGTTGAACAAATAACGAACGATAGAGATAGAACGAACGAACGAACGAACGAACGAACGAACGAACGAACGAACGAACGAACGAACGAACGAACGAACGAACGAATGAAGGAGAGAGAGGAAGGATGGACAGACTCTCATTGTTAGTTGTACGACAGATATTCGATTACTTGAAAGATGATCACTTCAATGCATTGTGCTTGGGCTTCACTTGTAAACGTCTGTTTGATATAATGATCAAACAGTTGACAGATGTGACAATCAATCATGGTGACAGGACACAAGAGTTGAAGAGACAATGCAAACCAACAATGGAAATTAAATCAACCAATCGATTGGACAATCTTAATAACGATCTTTATTATGACCGTCTGACCGACCTGACCATCACTAACTCTGGTTACGACGAATCAGTCTTACCTGATCGGCTGCCACCATCACTCACTCGTCTAAGTGTGGCCCAGGGACTAAAGCCTGGCGCCTTGCCGCCATCGATCACCAGTCTGAACATTGACAATCATTGCAAGCCATTCAACATTGGCGATCTGCCACCATCTCTTCGAACATTTTCTTTTATATGTACGAAGAATGATTGGACGATCCAACCTCGCACACTACCATCATCGCTTGTCTCCTTGACAATCAAGACTTGCTTTGACAATATATATAATCGTAATGTTTCCCTGCTGATACCCTCTTCACTCCCCGATTCACTTGAGACACTCATACTACTCGGGTCAATCTTTCCACGTTTGCAACCTGGATTGCTCCCATCATCGATTACATCACTGAAGCTTGGAGACCTACTCGATCCACCGACGCCTGGAGATCTACCTTCATCGATCATATCACTTGAGTTTGGCAGTCGCTTCAATTATGCGATTGGTGTGGGCGTGCTGCCCTCATCACTCCAGACGCTACGCTTTGGCCTCAATTACAATCAACCAATCAATCCTGGTGTGCTACCACAATCACTCCAGTCATTATACTTTGTCGGCCAATTCAATCAACCGTTTGGCCTGAACGTACTTCCACCGCAACTGGCCACACTCTCACTGATGTCGAAATACGATAAAGATTTCATTCCTGGATCTTTGCCCAACAGCCTGGTCACGCTTGCCTTTGGCAACTATAGATGGATTTATCTCCATGCGTTGTCAACATCACTCACCTCTCTGACATACGAGAGCAAGGATGTGTTCACAGTGTACGACACTTATAAATATGATCCTATACAAGTCTCGTGGCCCCAATCACTCCAAACACTGGTCGTTGGCAATCTGTGGCATCATGGTGATAACCATGATTTTATATTTCCTCCGCAGCTTCATGGACATCAGCCCCTACCATCAAGTTTGACATCACTGTCAATTCAACTTGAACACCAACAACATCTTGCATTATTGTCACAGGCATTGACACGCCTCGACCTTGGCCATCAGTACGACTGTCCGATCCCACCTGGATCATTGCCATCGTCACTTGTCCACCTCACAATTGGAAATTCATTCAACCAGGTATTGCCAGAGGGTGCGCTGCCAGCATCGCTGGTCGACCTTTCATTGGGTGATAAGTTCAACCATGCAATGCCAACAGGAGTGTTGCCGCCAACCCTGACATCACTAAGTCTTGGACGTGATTACAAACAATCTGTGAAGCAAACATCATTGCCTGGAACACTTAAAATACTTTCAGTGGACTTGAGGACACAGGACAAGTACTTCACATCACCACCATCATCATCATCTGAGTGTGGCCTTGAGCTATTTGAGATAAGGTCACTCTTTATTTGGCAGCTCTTGGCACCCAAGAGCAAAGGTCGTGCAACCAAGGTGATGCGAACCAAACAATATCTGACACATAGAAAATTCGATCGGTCCAAAGATGTCGCAGAAATGGTCGTGTCATTCCCCAATGTACATACGTTCGATGTCAACTTCTATCTACCAAACAAAAACCATTCTTTTGAGCAGATATTGCTCCAAACCCAAATGCGCAGGATCAACGAACTCCTAGTCATATGCCTTTATAACAACCTACTAGTAGTGCAATGTGGCTACCCTTGTTTAAAGATACTGGATTTGTCCAAACACAACAAATAATAATAATAAGAATGAACCACCAGTCATTCAATCAAACTTATATAATATCAATAAATGAATATCCAGGTTTTTTGGTTAATTTTTGAGTTTTGGATACTTTGGGACCCACATCTTCATCAAACATCTTGTGCACAGATAATCGATACGCCTCGTCACTCAATATTCAATCAGTTAATCGAATAATCAATCAAACATATAATATGAGCACTCCTTCTACAACAGTAGGTGGAGTTGCTGTTGGTGTTGGTAATGCAACACAGACTCAGACTCAGACTCAGACTCAGACTCAGACTCAGACTCAGACTCAGACTCAGACTCAACAACAGTCTCAGATACCTCAGACACAGACATTACCTCAAAGTGTACCACAACAACAACAACAACAACAAATGTTACAACAACAACAGATACAACAACTTCAACAACAGATATATCAATCAACTGTTTTGTTGCCACAGATGACTAATACAATGATATCATCAACACCATTGTCTGCGACACCTAATGGACCTGCTGTACCAGTACCCATACCATCAGCCGTTCAAGCCTACTACCAGAACCCTCAAATGAATGGTGGCATTCTCATGATCATGCCCAACGGTCCAAGCTCATTCACTCCATCACTTGTAACTATCTCTGCCCTCACAACTCCCCTCGTTCACTTATTCATTCAATCAATCAATGATAGCGTAAACTACGTCATGTAAAGAGCATACTGTGTAGAAACCTTATACCTCGTATCAATATCAATGCTGATCAGCATCTACCAAACACATACTATACACTGCATGCCCCACCTCCCAACAAACAAACAAAGAACAGACGAGTAGATGCCGGTGGTCCACTTATTAGATGTCCAACTCCAACGATATCATCAAATAACGATCAACAGCAACATCAACAACATCAGCAGCAGGCAAATGGACATATCATACCAATAGATGATGAAGATGCTGTTAACAACGAGGACGAACAATCACCTGATTACTCTGACGATGATCAACTACGCTTTGACGAGGATGAGGAGGCTGCTATCGCTGACGATGATGTCGACGGTCCACAATCCGCCGACGAAGACGACGATGAAGACGACGAAGACGAAGACCTACCCCATGCATTCTACATCAGTGAAGTTGTCAAGAACTCATATGTATGTTATGTCATACAACTCACTCATTCAAACAAATATACTCACTCAATCAATCAATCAATCAACTTAGAATCCAGTCTGGAACTCATTCGATTGTTATAGTCCACTGCCCAATGATATATTGGAACACTTTAACAGCTTCAATATATGTGTATGGGAGAAGGATCATGATGATGAGCCACTCTTCCAAGCAGAGATCGATCTCACACAACTGGAATTCATAGCACAAGAGGTATATATAATGATCCTGATCGTGATGTTTGTCAATCACTAACAAGGATCACAACATCATTCAACAGATCAAACAGTTTGTAAATTTAATCATTCCTCCCAACTCCATCATCTTTGAACTAAAGGATGGACTATATGTAACAAAAGAAACAAAGATCCAAATGGTATGATTGATTAATTGAATGAAGGACTCAGCCCAAGCCCACACTGGGATCATCCCACTCACTGACCTACCTCACTCAATCAAAATAGAGTTCGACAAGAATGAATGATTACAAGTTCACGGCATCGAATGAGAAGAGAAAGTCTGATACGATCAATCAGGAACAGTTGTTGAAGATAATCACAAAGAAGTTGACACATATGAAGAATGTAGAGACAACCAAACAATTGAGTATAGACATCGAGGACAAGCTGGAGAGCAATGCACAGTACATCGAGAAGTTAAAGCGATTGGAAAAGCTGAGGAACCGTGTCAAGCAGCTCAACGAAGAGTGTTGCGAACAACTGTTACTCAAGGACAAGGGTAAGACTCGCTCGTCAATCAATCAATCAAACGTCCATTCGCTCACTCACTCATACTCGTCAACAGACAAAGAGTTGGTTGAAAAGACAAGGAAGGACTTGGTACCGAGGGCAACTGCATTGGCTAATGCAGGCGTGATATTCTACTCATCGTTGCAACAGACGATTGAGTCGATCAAGGTGTTGGACATGGATAGGGTGTTGTTACATAACATCCGAGCCACATTGGATAAGAAGAAGTGGCATCTGTTGTATCAGATCACATCGATATACCCACTTCAACAAGGACCCAAGGGTATTGTGATCAACAATCTACAACTTCCACACTCTGACTACAATGGATGTGATGAGGAGTCGATATCAACGGCACTCGGATACGTTTGCCATATTGTTCACCTGGCGTCTAGATACCTGGACATACCACTGCGCTACCCAATGACACCGATGGCGTCACGATCATTCATCCGCGATGAGATCCTACATCACTCTGCCTCCAAGTTCCCACTTTACTCACGTGGCGTCGAGAAGAAGATCTTTGACTACGCCGTCTTCCTGCTCAACAAGAACCTCGAACAACTACTCCACTCGCAAGGCAGTCCTGCCTTCCCACTCAAAGAGACCCTACACAATGTCCAAACACTGCTTGGTATGAGTATGCACTATTCCAAGGAAACGTGGAGTACTTGAGCTTAGGAGTGGAGTTCGATATAAATATATCAAGGTCATTCATTCATTCATTCAATCTTTCGATCGCCAATCATTGTGTGTCAACCAATCAGACGACAACAGAAGTAGAAGTAGATTAGATTTAGGATTAAACATGTAGTTTATTTGAAAGGACGTTCATTCTCCAACGTTTTCGGATGTTGCCGGGGAATGTTGATTGCAGCTAAACAGGTGTTACAATACAGCCGGTGTGGACATGTCTACACAGGCATTGTAGTGGTACTGACTCCAGCGAACACTCACCTTAGGGTGGAGCATTGCTGGTGGAGGATTGATGGATTATTGGATGGTTGGCGGGAAAAAAAATAGGAGGTGTGGATGATGGTGATGCGCTCGATACAAGGTAGTAGGTATGTACATGGTATGGATTGTGGTTGGTAGTTGGATGTTGTTGGATATTGGTTGGATAAGTCTATACAGTAGTTATGTGTGTGTGGCCAAACTTGTTAACAGTTGGCTGTGGCTTGTGATGCGCTGCCCATGTAGGTAACAGCTGGCTCCATGCAGTATGATCCAGACTTGTTTGACGCTGACAGACGAGTTGGTTGTGAGTTGGTAGTCGCTGATGATGAAGTGGAGGATGATGACGAGGACGAGGAGAGCAATGGAGACTTGCTAATGTATGATGGCAGTTGCAATGATGCCTTGAGTGAACTGGTGATGTCAATCTTGGACATGAAGGTCTCCAATTGTTGCTCGGTAATGCTGAGTTGGTAGTCGACGCCACAGAGGAAGCGACGCTCCATCAGGTTGATGTCCTGCACTGGGAACTCAAAGATGTCGGCCAGCATGCGGTTGTGGATCTGGATGCTCTCGGACCAAAACTTGAGTGTGACGATGGTGCTGGTCAGCAGCAGATTGAACAGCTGGTTGTGCTTGATGCCAGTACGCGACACAAACTTGTTGGCGTAGTAAACGACGGCCGACAGCAGCGAGGGTGGCGACTTCATCATCTCGAGCAGACTCAGAATGATGTCAAAGATCTCGTTGATGGCCTCGATGATCTTGTCAAACTGCAGGTTGGAGGTGTAGGCGGGGTCGTGCTCCGACAACCATTGGTAGACGCGCATGCCCAGCACAAAGTATTCCCATTTGGACTTTTGCTGATTGGCAGTATTAATCTGGGAATAGATCCTCTTGAACACTTGTTGGTATATTGAGTACTTGGGGAAATATGGCATGGTAGAGTTGGACATTCTTGGATATTTTGATTGAATGATAGTAATAATAATAATTATAATTTAGGAATATTTGTTCTTTGGTGGATGGAAGGTGAAATGTTAATTACAGCTGTCACCTAAGTATAGGTAGGGTAGAGTAGAGTGACCTTTTCGACTGTTCCAATCAAGAATGGAACTGATCAGGTGTGTGTATGTATATGTGTAGTGTGAAGTGTGGAAGGGGTGAGGGGGCCTGGAAGTAAGGCCTCTAAGGGGGGGTGGTATGTACAAGAATGTTCTATTATAATGATGATGTTGATGATGATGCGTTATGTGTTGGTGAAGTTGAGTCCTTTACAAATAGAATAAATGTGTGTGTGTGTATATCGAGGCTCTTCTTTGGATACATCGAGGTTTAGGTAATAATAACAAACTTCCAAAACAACCTCAAGTTGTTCATTTATAGGTTGTTGTTGTTGTTTTGATGGATGGATTGGATTTGATTGATTGATTGACTGAGATGGTGATGTAATAACATGTAATAATACATGGAATTGTGGTGAAGCCCTTCCAAACACCAGGTGGTAACCTGGTTAATATTAGACACACGATGGCGAGATTGTGTCTGTGGGGCTAAATTGATGTGATACACATCACGATCAACATCAGTCCATCTTGACCTTGATCACTTCAGCCTCATCTCCAGAGACTTATCAATCACAACCTATCAACCAACCATCCTACCATCAATCACATGTTTGATAGAACGCCTGATCAGGTGTTCACCACATATGTGTTTGTTGATGCTCAAGTAGGAGGTTGAGGTTGAGTGCGCGCCAACTCTGACTGTGGTGTGTTATTTGTGTGATGTTGATTGATTGAAATTGGAAGAATTGGAAGAACTGGTGACAGGGTGTTGAAGTGTGTGATGGTGGTGTACTCGAGTTTAAACGACTTCACCACATTCATACACACACACAAACAATCAAACAACTACAACAACTACACAATGAAAGATAGAAAGAATGAATGAATGAATGAATGAATGGTCGAGTGGTGCTATGACCTTTGTCAAGTGATAAGACTCTGGTCGAGAGGACCACAACAAGCCTCTTCATTATTTTTAGTCGCACACAAACACACACAACCAAGTCAGTGAGTTCGATTGGATCGCCCACTCCCCACATCCAAAGAACCAACAATAACAACAAAACACACCACACTACTCTATCTCTGACGTCTTGATTTATACCTACTTGTAATGAGACTTATGTTATTGGGTCCTTAATAATTGTTTATCCGTTTGTAATGTTACTCCTTGCATCAATATGATAATAATAATATTTATGGATTATTGGTTGGTTGGATGTGGATGGATAATTGTTGGAAGTTTGATTGATTGATTTGATTGATGACTTAAGTGAGTGGTGAGTGAGTGAATAAGTTATTATTGATTGATTGATGATGTATTGGTATTGGTAATGATAAATAAAAAAAGTAAGTGTCAAGCAATACTTAAGTATTCTGGTTAGATGGATGCTCATGCTTGGATGCGACCCATCCCGCGTGATCAATATTATATTAGAAAGAAATTAGTATTTAAAATACTACCTTTAGGGTATAGGGCATGCGATCTGGCACGATGACAATATCCACAGCCATAATTAGTGATCTGTTTTGTCCGGGGATGTTAGGATCACTCGAGATTGCAATCGTATGACCAACACCACTCCAGTCCAGCACAAATTTTCGCGAGTGTTGTTGAGTGAGCCAGTGAGAGATTGAGCTGCATCTTGATGTACTGGCGATGGTCGACCCATGGCTCATGTGATCGGGGTGTTGACTTGTCTCGCACTCACTCAACACACACATGATCACTTTTTTTTTTGGTGTCTGTCTCATTTGCTTAATGTTTGCAAAGAGCGTGTGGCCCCGACACAAGTGCTTTCATTGAAACTCGGACCATTTGATCAGATCCAACCCCCTTTGATCAATGAGTAGCGCTATCAACTATGTTATAATTAGAGTATATACGCGCATCATTCGATATTGGGGCCAACAGTCACCGATTAATTAATTAAGTAGGAGGGTATATTCGCCCTGTTCTTTGCTTTGCGATCAGACTAAACAGTGTGCATAGGGTTCGAGTTGACCAGGGTCTTCCACAGACTTGGCCCTCGTAACTTCATTCGCTTCCTCGTTCCAAGTTACAGTTACATTCTAGAATTTGATAAGACACATACTCATTCCTTGGTGGGTCACACGAATAAATGTGACTTCATCAGTTTGTTGAGAGATAGCTGTTTGAATGAAGGTCACTGGTGTTGACTTGGGTTGTTTAGTTGTGGGGAAGAGGGGGCTAGCTATAGCGAGATATGTCCACAAGTTGTAATCTCGTCTTAATCAATCCACTGAAAGGTTAGGACGTACCTTTAAAGTAAATAAGTGACAATCTTCCAAAGGCGGTGATTGTGGTTGATCGAGTTTGATTGAAGGCCCACTTTGAGTCTATTTTTATGGACATGCCATCAATAAAGTCAAACGAATAAAACACAGACTGGAAAACATACATAATTTATGTTTGTTCATACTTGATCACTAAAGTATGTTTCTTCCAAAGATGGTATTTGATCGATCGATTTGATCCGGATCCCGGGACTTTGGAGTACCACTTGTTCAAGTTCAACTTGTTGAACTTTCTCGATAACTTCCTAATGTCGCCATATAAACGACCCTGGTAAGTTCCAAGGGCAAGGGCAAGGGGCAAGGGGCAAGGGGAAAGTGGCAAGGGGCAAGGACCCCAATCACTCTAGGAATAGTGTGGCGACTTTATTTTTACCAAGCCATGGATGGCCATGTCACGCGGACCTACTGGCCATGTCACGCGCACGGTTTGACTGAATGACTGACGCGTCCACCTAGGTACTAACCAGTCGTGGCCGACAAATATGTGTGCATGATCCAGTTGGACAGTTCTCGTGATTTGAATCGAACCATTGTTTGATGTGTTCCAGATGTCCACCATGTCCACAACCTTGACACCATACGAAGGAGCCCTTCACTGGCAGGCGACAGACTGAACACTCGCCAGGAACTGATCCGCACTTATCACAAACAAATGTGTTGGGTGGCAATGTCTTGCCACATGCACATGACACCAGCACTGAAGTCGATCTTTGTGACATGAAGCTAACAGAAGGATCATCGCAGCCCTTCATAATCTCATTCGCGTTGTTCCACATTCTGAACCTATGCAGTAACTCTGTTTGATTGATTGAGTGTGAGTGATTGATTGATTGAGTGGAGATTGACAAGATTGGCGAAGCAAGCATACCTATATATGATCCAAGCCATTGGGATACTCGCAGTCTATCAACTTTGATCGCTTCCTTGAGTATGAGCATCACAAACACACATGTTTGGACATCACCTCTCTCATTGCAGTGTTCCAGCATCTCGAGAATGGTCGGTTGTATATCGATTGATGGCACTTCAAAGTCAACAACATCGAGTAGTGCGAGTGATGATGCCTTCTGCTTCTTCTTGTCCACGGCCAGCAGCGTCGACTTGTCCAAAACGGGAACTCCTAATAAATTATTATCGTACAAACTATCTACAGGGCCATTCGATTGAACCAGTTGTTGCTGCTGCTGTTGTTGATGCAGCAGAGGTGTGGCTTGTAGTGTCTGTGGCTGTTGCTTGTCCATGTCGCGTGGTGACTTGGCGGGCGAGGGTGCGCGAGTGGGCAGTGGGGCAAGAGGTGTGACAGCCTCTGCCGATAGAATGTCGTCTTCGTCGTCGTCGAGCACATCGCTAAAGTCCAAGGCGGCTCGAGCATTGCTACCAACACTCGATTCAATCGAGTCGGGGATGCCAGTGCCACCCAGTGCGTCCTGTATCTCTGCGCCAATGCCCAAATGATCGTCCTTGCCAACGCTCGACTTTGTCGCGGCTTCTGATGATGTCGAAGGTCCAATTGCCAGCTTGCTGCTTCCAGTTGAGCTGTCATTGATTATTGATATATTGTTGTTGTTCGATGATGTGTTGTTGTTGTTTGTGTTGTTCGCGCTGTTGTTGTTGTTGTTGTTATTGATGTTGAAGTGTAGTCGCAGGAGTGTCCAGATCTTGGACGTTTGATATTGGTTGGCGCGAAGAGCTACGGATTCATTGTGTTTGCAGAGCTTCTTGAAGGACATGCCCTGGAATCGATAGTTCTTGGCAAAGTACTCAAACAGGAAGGATGGGTCGCAGATCTTGTCGGCGCTCTTGGTGGCGCCCAGCGGCGACAGTATGTACATGGTGCCCTTGTCGGTGCGCGCCGGCGATGGCGGCGAGGGGACTGGCGGCACGTTGAACGAAGCAAAGAACGACGGGTACTGGGCCGACAGTGGCACGGCCGACTCGTTGTTGAGGTCACGGTTTATCTTGTCGTTTATGACCGCCAGCTCGTTCTGTACATTCCATCCGATGCCCGTTGTGCGGATGTGGTGGTAGGGCTGATAGGCATCGCCCGGCATGTTGTTGATCAACAGGTAGTTGTCCTTGCTGCAGGTGATCAGCGTGGACGCATCGTGCCAGATCAGACCGGTGGGCACGTCGCGGTGCTCAGTGAACGAGGCGATTGGCACGAACGGATGCTTCACGTCCCAGATGTGCGTCTGGAGATCGACGATCGACGAGCAGCTCGCAATCTGCCATCGATGGTTCGGTCGCCACTTGATCCTCGACACACTGGATATCGTTGAGATGTTGTAGAGTTGTTTGTTGTTGGTGATGTCCCAGACACGGATGGCGCGGTCACGACCGCCCGTCGCGATCAGGTTCTTCTCCTCTGGATGCCACTCGATCGAGAGCACCAGACCCTGATGCGCGGTTATCTTCTCCACTACCTGATTGTGTTTCCTAATGTCCCATAGCTGAACAGTACCATTGTCAAATGCTGCTGCAAACTGATTCGGGTTGAATGCATGGAATTGTACATCGCGTATCGCTTCAGACTTTGGTTGGAATGTGATCTTGCATGGGTTGGCCTCTCGTATATCCTATGTTGTTGGTGATGTGAATGGTTAGTCGACTGAACTATCTTGGCATGTTCATTGAATCAATCATACAGATAACTTTAGTGTTGTGTCTTGTGAGCCTGTTAGCAAGTAGTTGTGTTGGTCTGGATGCCAAGCCAGTTTGTTCACGGCTCTGGTGTGATCGGTCCACACCTTCTCCACAGACCTCGCGCCCTCTCTTGTAATATTCCATACTACTACTGCTCCATTAGTTGCTGCAGTCGATATGAGGAACTTGTAATCTGATATGATTGAATGAGTGAGTAAGTTAGTGATTGAATGATTGAATGATTGAGGTGATTGATACATACTGTCAATGTTTGCAGGATGCCAACAACAATCGTTTCCTGTATAGTTCAATGATTGTGTCTTTCCTGCTCTCAAGTTGATTGATACCTTTGGTTGATCACCCTCTAATGATATAATCTTGACGGCTATGTTATTGTTTGAGGATGTTGTTAGCAATCATTCATACATTGATCGAGTCATTCATTCATTCAATCTACTTACTATCTCTTCCTGCAACAATTAGCTTCGAGCCATCGGGTGACGAACTGATTGCATTCAATGGACTGCCAAGGTTCAGATAGGCCTGAGTCTTTGGAGTTCGCTCGACGCTCTTCATTAGCTAAACCAACAATATGCTGTATGAATGTTTGAATTAACTTATATATATATCCTGTATGTTTTAATAGTATTATATGAATGATTTATTGAATGAATATATGAGTGTATGTATGTATATATGTACAAGAGGTAATGTAATAATGAATGAATGAACACGAACAGAGATGACCAAGAATGAAAGAGAATGAAATGAGTGTGATGGAGTTCATCAAAAAAGATAAATTTTATCATGTTTTATCCCAAATTTTATGTTGAGCAAAGCCAAGGGGGTCACGATTTAATACGCAAAGGATATGATCATTGCGAACAGGTCACTCTCCAGGGATTGTCAGACGAACAGGCATCCATCATTATAGGACCAGAAAGGCATGGTGCATTGGGTGTGCAGCGACGTTGGAATGGTTGTCCCTTTTGACAATAGTACTGTGTAGTGCCCCATGGATCACCGCGATCAGATATCACAGTGCCATTGGTGGCGTACCAGTATGATTGTACGGACAGACAGTTGCTGTTGGTGGCTTGGAACACAACGGACTTTGATGGTATCTTCACTCTTTGGAATGTATCGACTTTGGTGAACATGTAGGCTGTGTATGCCCATGGTGAGTAGGTACATGCGCCCAAATCAAACACCTGGTCATGAACATAATCACTGCAATAAGGATGCAAATGATACGACAAGTTATATTGATTAGTGTCATATATGTTGTAGATCATAAACGAAGCATCGTTTGAGAAGTTCAAAGAACATTGGAACTCAATGGCGCCAAAGCCCTAAAGATTGAGAGTTAGTGAGTGATTGAATGAGTGAGTTGGTCTTGGGATAGTTCCACTTACTACACCATGTGGTTGACCTTTGCAACTTGTTGATCCATGGTATGGAGTGAAGGAGTACAACTGGCTATTGACAATTGTCAATAGACCAAGTAATAATATTGTACAAAAGAGATAATTGTTCTTAAACATGTTTAATAAAGTAAATAAATTGTTTGAATGAATGAGTGAACTTAACCTAACTCAACTTAGGTATTGGAGTGTCCCGATGATCACTACCTGGACAGCAAGACAAACCCACACATATGGACGTCCACTCTTCTTTAGGTGAATCTGATCATTCATTACCACAAGTCGAGTGGTGAGATGGGGTGATAATTGATGAGTGTGGTCTGAACTTGTGTTTGATCATTTCGGGGACAATCAATCAATATCATCAAGTGCGAATGGTTGTCGATACAGACACAGGAACAGGTGTTTGGGGGAGGAGGGGCAGGCCACCAGGCCATCAATCAACTTTAACCAAACTACTACTCCTCCACTTTAACCAACACCATAACATTCCCGTCGACGGGAATGTTGTGTATAGTTGGGTGGATGGATGTAGTTGGATAAAGTCTACTTTACTACTTCTATTTATTATTGGTATATACATGTCCAGGTGGAGCGATGAATGAATGAACTGATTGAAAGACTGTTGTAACAACTGTTATGTGCAGTAGATAAGCTGTGGGTTGTTGTTTTGACAATTCCTGGCCACTTGTGTGACGTTGCAGCTGGTGCCGACGCACACCTCGATCGTTGGCTCGTTGTTGCCGTCGCAGTAGTAGGTGGTGGTGGTCTGGCCCTCGGTGATGACCGTGTTGTTCGTGGCGAACCAGTACGACGACACCTTGGAGCAGTAGTCGTAGAGTGATTGGTAGAGGAATGAGCTGGGCGGGATCTTGACCGGCCATTGTTCGCGCGAGATATAGTACGAGTTGGTGGCTTGCAGGTTGTTCTGACACTCTTGCGTGTTGTACCCAACGTTGTACAACTCTTCGTTGCAAAAGTCGGCCTGGTTCGACGACAGGTTGAAGTAGCTATTCGAGTTGTACGAGGGCATGATGAAGAAGGTGCCCGTGATGTTGGGCGAGCACTGGAATGGCAATGAGCCAAAGCCAACGCCAATGGGCTGGCCATTACAGCCGCGCTGACTGAATGGCAAAAAGTTATATAATACTGATGATGCCTCCAGGTCGTCATCAGCATATTCTTTAGTGTCGATCTCTTCTATAATATATTCGTCTTCTTCGTAATCACGTGCCAACAATTGGGCCAATGATGATGGCGTTGATGATGAAGTCGTGGGCGCTACAATAATCGCTAGCAACACGACAATCATCATAATCATCAAGGTCATCAATGACTTTGTCGATTGTGATTGTCTGACCATGTTGTTGTTATATTATAATATATATATATATTATGTGTATGTATGTATGTATATGTTTGTTGTTTACAAGAAATGATATCACAAACTAGTAGAGTGAAGCAAGCAAACAGTAGTGTACATGTGAGGTAAAGTGAGAATGAATGAATGACAGTAGTTTAGGTTGACACGCGAGCACTCACACACCGATCTTTGTTTTTGCAGACGATATTTTGATCCTTCCTTCGCACTTTCGGGTCCTTGCTTGAAGACCAACCAACCCCCATCAACAATATTCAATCAACTAATCAGTCGAAATGATAAAGTAACAAATATTTACTTTTATTTATTTATTTATTCGAATGATCACTTTAAAAGAGATTATCTATCTAATCTTAAGAATATGTATTGACTTCTTTGTTTGAACTGATGATGTCTTCTTATTCGAGGTTACTTCAGAGTAGAGTACTCCTTTGTTCTTGTCGATTCTCCTGAATTGTATATCATATCCAGCTACTAATATTCTATATATATTTACATTTGGAATTTTATCTAATACTATTTTCAAACAACGATTGATTTGATTAACGTATCCATATGTTGATTTACACTCTCGGATACAGAGTAAGCTCATATGGTCATTGATTGATTTCATATCGAGTAACATTCTTTTAAAAGGAACTGAAGCATATAATGAATCAACTAAACAACTGACATTCTCTAGATGTTGAATGGTAGGAAGAGACAACTGGCGAAGTTTTGGAAATGTTATCCTCATTGGCACCAATCCATCATATCCAATAAGTAATGAAGTGAGTGAACTTGGTAAAATTGTTGTATCTAAATCATAGTTATATAATCTACCAAGGTCTAGAGAGGTAAGTGTACCAGGTAATGATCCAGCTAATAATCTACATCTATAGGAGTTTCCTATTTTGAGCTCTGTCAATGAACTAACAAGACACCCTGGTGCGATATCAGCTGGAGTTGCAGTCGATGATTCTAGTGTTAATGATTGAAGATAAGGAAGTGTTGAACTGGCCAGGGCAATGTGATCAAATAAACCCAATCCTAAACGTCTTTGAAGGTTCAGTCTTACAAGGGAACTGGGTAGATCTTTAAATGAAATATGAGTATCTATTTGAAGCTCTCTAATTGTCAGGTCTGTGAGGGTGTTTGGGAGTCTATCCTTTGTGTAAAGATCAAGGTCACCAGCTACTTGTAACCTTGTAAGAGAGGGTGGGAGTACTCCTAGAGGAATGGTACGAATAGTTTTATAATCATTGATATAATACAATGATAGATCGACAATACTATTTGGCAACACACCTGGTGACATTGGTTGTGTATACCAATATCCAAACTTTAGAACCCTCAATCCTTTTGGCAAAGTATTCTCAAAGATTGGTAAGTTGTAAACTTCACCTAATGTAAGTGATAATAATGATTGAGGTAAACAATTGTTAAGTGATTTTTTAAACGATGGTCCAAGTAGTAATGTTTGAAGAGAGTATGGAAGAACATTTGATTGAAAATCGTGATCATACTTTGAATTATTAGGGAATGATGGATGGAGAAGTGAGGATGGTAGTGATCCAGAACTGAATGATTGATTGTACTTTTCTCCCAAAGTGAGATTGATTAGTAATGATGGTAATGATCCTGGAATGAATGGATGATTATATTTGGAATACAATGTAAAACACAAAGTAGTAAGTGATGGTGGAAGTGACCCAACTACAATTATTTGATTAAAATTATTTCCAAATGTTAATGAGGATAGAGCAACTGGTAATATATTTGGTTTGATTGGTTTGTTGAACTTTGGTGAGAATGTCAAGTCTGTTATTAAAGGTGACATTTGGTATTTAGGAGCATAGATCATTCTATATAATACTACTCTATCCTTTAAAGAAGGTTTTAAATTCATTCCTTCCATCATCATTCTTGGGCAAATAAATTGATAATCAATCATTCTATTATATATTAAAATAAATAATCTCTTTGATGTCAATCCAAGACATAGAATATCAATTGGATATTCTTTTAAATAATCAATTATCACATAGATTGCTACAGGTACTAATTCATTCATTTTAATAAGTATTTGTATAATAATGTATAAGTATTAGAATTGAAAGAATAACAACATGACGTACAGTCTTTGACTTCTATGAAGAGTGTCACCTATATTTCCTTAAATAGATACAGATCTCACACACTTACATATATATATTAATATTTTATTATTTCTTTCTTCTCTTGTCTCGGGATGTATCACCTTCAATGATGTCATTGACTTGTGTTCTCTTTGTTGTTCGACTTCCTTTATTATTATTTGATGTAGAGATTTTATTTGATTGTCGAAGTAATACTAATTGTTCTCTCTGTTCAGATACAATAGCTCCCAATGAATCTAGTTCTCTTGTCATCTGTCCATTGATATTATTAAAGTATTCATCTTTTACTCCAACCATATCCAATGTAAAAATATGTACAGTTTGTTCAACATCTAGAGGATTCATATTATCTAGTTTGGTCTTCTTGAATACTAGAATCGAACGGAAGTTGTCTAGCTTACGAACACTGATCGAATATTTCCAAGTCATCAGAGTATAGAGATTGAGACAATAATTAGATGAGTTTGGTATTGACAAAATCAGGTACTTAAGAAACTCGACCATTTGTCGAAATAGAAATGTAGTTTGCCTATATGTATCTTGACTATAAATATTGATTGATCTGAATTTCTCCAACAAAGTAGGAACTTCCTTATTCATGTGGACACTAGTTAGAGTTAGATCTTTGGCTTTGAAATCAATCAATTTGAGGTGTTGGAATGAATGTATTGTCATACTATCTAACTTTCTAAAGTTGGTTTGTCTTTTAAACTTTCTACCTATTGCTAATGATTTAAGTGATGGAGGCAAAACATCTTGGTCAAGAGCATAATTGAATGAATCTCCAAGTATCAATTTCTTTAAAGATGAAGGTAATACTCCTGGTATCAATGGAAAATTGAATGCCCAGCCAATCTCAATATATGTCAAAGATAGTCCAAAGACACCTTCAAGTATTGGGTTGTTGAATCGACTTCCTAAAACTAATGATTGAAGATTTGGCAATGTAGTTCTATATACACCCTCTGGATGATCTGGTTCATAAACCATTGTCCTCAAAGAATCAATAGGTCTATTGAATACTCGACCAAAATCAAGATATGTAAGTGAACTTGGAAGGAATCCAACCTCCAACGGTTTGGAGAATAGATCAAATGTCAAACTAGTTAGGGTGTTTGGAAATGTACCAGGAACCATCCTGGGTTGGTAGTCTCCAGAGAGCAACTCAAACTTGGTCAAAGAGCTTGGTAGTAGTCCAGGTTGTAATGTCAATTCTATATAATTATGAGGGTTCCAATTTATATACTTTCCCATACATATTTCGATGAGAGTGATGGGAAGTGTTCCAGGTGCAAGTGTATGATCAAAACTATGTCCTATCATAAGTTTTGTTAATGACCTAGGTAAGTTGTTGATTGTCAATGGATGACTGAATAAAGTGCTCAATGCTAAATCGATTATTGATTGAGGTAATACATTATCCTCGATGATAGAGTTGAATGTGTATCCAAGATTGAGTACTTGAAGTGATGATGGCAATACTCCATGTTTAATTGGAAGATTATATAATGAGTTCTGACTGAATAATAACTTGACCAATGATTGTGGTAGGACATTAAGTTCGATCTCCTGATTATAATAATGACCTAATTGTAATATCTGAAGTGATTCAGGTAGTACTCCAACCTCCAATACTCTATTGAATGTTGATGATTTGTTGAATAACAATGTAGTGAGAGAGGATGGGAATACACCTGGTACCAATGATTTTTTGAAACCTTTACCAAACTCCAAGTATGTAATACTTGTTGGGAATACACCTGGTGTAAGTATCTTATTGAACTTTGGTCCAAATATTAACTTTGTTATAGTATTATCTAATAATAATGTAGGTACCTTTGTACCTTTATATAATAATAATTTGTTGATTAATGAACTTCTTATATTTGACCATGTATCTGTACTATTTTTTGATGTTGTAGATGGTGTTGGACATATAAGTTGAACATTCTGTAATTGATTATGAACAAGTATAAATAATCTTTTGTTTGTAAGTCCTAGACTTAAAGCATCAATTGAGTCCTCCTCAAGTTGGTCAATAATAAATTTCCAAATAATATTTGGTAAATTATCCATTAATATATATATTTGTATTATTTGTTATGACTATGACAACAAATCATTCAAATCAAATGAAATAAATAATCTAATTCCAATGATAATACCCTCGCAGACATACCCTCACAGACATACCCTCACACACCCACGCCGCTCCAATCTATCACCCAAAACAATAAATGAATTAAATTAATTATTTGATGAATGAGAAAACGACAAGAGCACACGACAAAACAAAAGTCAATCAAAACTACACGAGCACACAAACCATTCGTATATTTTCACATTGTTGTTTACTTTATCGACATCAACAACATTACACATACATACATACATACATTATATTTATACACATATATAGAGAAGAAGAATGAGGTTAGAGAAGTGTTATTTCTGTGGAGGTACTGTGTACCCTGGTCATGGTATCATGTTTGTTAGAAACGATGCCAAACTCTTTAGATTCTGCAGATCAAAGTGTCACAAGAACTTTAAGTTGAAGCGTAATCCACGTAAGACCAGATGGACCAAGGCATTCAGAAGAGTTGCTGGCAAGGAGATGACTGTTGTATGTATCAATCAATCTTTCATTCATTCATTCAATCAATCTTACTCACTCGCTCAATCATTGAATGAATGAACAACAGGATAAGACATTCGAGTTTGAGAAGAAGAGAAATAGACCAGTCAAGTATGATAGAGATTTGGTGTCAACTACTATTAAGGTGATGAAGAGAGTGGACGAGATTAAGCAGAGAAGAGCACAGCATTACTATGACGCGAGAATGAAGCCTGCAAGAAAGTTGGAGAAGCAACAGGTGCTGCGAGAGATCGATCAGCACATCGATATCATTCGTGCACCATCCGCTTTGAACAAGATGAAGGAGAAGATTCTGGCCAACAAGGCCAAGCTGCAGAAGCTCCAGACTACCAACTAAGCACCATCCTCATCAATCTATATATACATATACATACTTTACCAACATCTACTCTACCAACACAACCACGCAACCTCTTCACCATTCCTGTACTGTCCTGCTCTGTCCTGTCCTATCCTATGCTGCCCCGAACTTACGTACGTCTTGGCAGTGTAACTACAAGGACGGGCCCTTGTGGCTTGCTCGCCACAAACCCATTGTCCAAGAAGGACGTGGCTGGTCCTCCCTCCTGCCACACCTTGGAAATCGCTCAAATAAAAGTATCAACCATATGGCCTGTCAACCATATGACCATCCATCCTTCCCCTTGTCTGTTTGATTGTTTCGATTGATTGTTTGGATAGAGAGAATGAATGAATGATTGATTGTTTGATTATATATTACTTATTTATTGTTCCACCTCTTGAAACCCTTGCCATTGGATGATGGCCTTTGATGTGCTTGCTTGTTGAACTTTCCTTTGCCACCTGGTCCTTGTTGTCTGTTTCCATTTCCATTTCCATTACCATGTCCATGACCATTTCGTTGTCCATTGCCATTTCCATTGGGCCTATTTGATGGCACTCCAATGTTAAACTGCTGTTTACGAGAGGCACCGCCATTGTTATTGTCTCGAGGCTGGTCTCCAAACTTGAGTCGGTCCTCCTTCTTCTGCTGATTCACTAGGAGTTGAGCATCGAACTTGTTCTCGCTAAAGTCTATCTCCTTTCTCTTCTTGATCTTCTTCTTCCTACCCATATCAAACTCTGCGTCCCATGCATCCTTCTCATGTCGCACCTCTTTCAGCGTCTCATCATTGTGTAGCAGCTCCTTCTGTGCCTTGACCATCTCCTCATCAGCGTCATCCCATTGACCAACACTAAAGTTGAACTGGCTTGACTCGTTGCCTGTGGTTGGCTTGCTGGCAAGTTCCTTGCCAACCTTCTCTGCCTTGGACCTGTCGGCCTCGATCACCTTCTGTGTGTCCTTGTCCAATGTCTTGTCATCCCACAGCTTAACGTATGTACCATTGCTGTTGCCATTGCCGTTGCTGCGGCCATTGGCTGTGGTGGGCGTGGCCTTTGTCTCGCCTCCGACCTCACTCTCACCCTCATCTGATGATGGTTGCTTCCTCTTCTTTCCATTGTTTGTGCCGTTTGTGATTGCTGGGCTGCTGGCGGTTGAACCTCCATTCACCTCCTGTGCCTTCATACTGTGTGCTCTGTGTGCGATGAGTTGAGGGATCAGTGCTGCCTCGGCAGTGGCGGCGGCTGCTGCGCCAGACGCTGTTGAAGACAACGATGGCGATGATGACGACGATGATGTGGGAGTATTGGCTGCTCCATCAGCTGCTGACTGACGGTGTCCATTGGACGACGCCTGTGATGTTGATCTCGAGCCATCGGTGCGCCTCGAGTAGAATAGGATGTATGCCTTCTGTGATAGTACGGTCGCTTGGTTCACTTGGTGAACAGACTCGTCGTTCATGTTGTGCCACACGCCACTAGACGACTTGATGAAGCAGTAGTAGTGGCCCGAGTTGGTGGATGAGCCCGAGTGCACCAGCACACCATACAGGTCATACATGGCGTCGCTGGTGGTGGTCGTAGTCATGAACGGCGCCAGATTGAACGACGCGTCAAACTGGATGGGCTTGCTGATCTTGCCTCCGTGGAAGCCCAGATAGCTGAAGCGCTTCAGCTGAACGGTGAGGATGGGCGGTGCCAGATGCACCGACATGCGCTTGGTGGCGCGCACCAGCTTCTTGCACTTGCTGCACTTGTACTTGTTGGAGCCATCAAGCACTTCGGGTCGCACGAAGCGCTGCATAGCGCGCGTCAGCGAGTCGGCCTGGTTGATGTCGACGCTCAGATCCATGAAGGGATCGTATGTGTTGGAGTCGTGGTTGCACACCGTGCACTTGACTTGGCTCTGCAGGTAGCCGCCAAAGATGCTGCCCACCACCGTCGTCATAGTGTCGCGATGTGTCAGCGCGCCCTTGGGGAAGCGCGCCAGGCACACCTTTTGCATGCCCTCAATGACGAAGCGAGTGAACTCATGTGAGTCCTCCTGCCTGCCCAGACGAAAGCCTGGCGCGAACTCTAAATGGTGAGTGAATGAGTGGCAGTGCGCGGATATTGTTAATATCACTGTAGCTGTGCGGCCTGACTCTGTGGCGATGTTGTTACGCTCACAGAGGATGGGCGGGATTGATTGATTGATCGAGTGGAATCATTCCATAAGTGATCAATCAGCTTCGAAGCTGATTGAGTGATTGAGTAGTGATTGGAATGATGATTCCAAGGGGAGGATACCCACTCTTTAGATTGGAGGCGATCTCCTTGGGCGTGATGGAGCCGCTGTGTGTGGTGAGGGAGCGCGCAATATGCCTCTCCATCGAGCAGAAGATGCAGAATCCCTGGATGGTGCATGACTTGGAGTGTTCCTGAGACAACATGTAGTTGGCGAGCGGCGGGCAGTACGTAAGACACTGGAGCACCGAGTTCATGAAGCACGTGTTGCCAATGTTATTGAGGCCCGAGCCAACCTTGCGCACCATCTTCCAGCTCATCAGCGTGTCCACCTTGTCCTGGCCAAATATCACCTTCTTGGGAGGATGCAGTACGTTGTCATCGAGCACCTCAGCCTTGGCGGCGGGGGCTGTCTGGCCCTTCTTGCCATTGCTGTTCGCAGTCCTTGCCAACTCGACTTCGGCCAGCCTGTTGATAGGCTTGTACTTCTTCTTTAGGGCGTTGTTTGGGTTGTCCTGTGGCGCTGCCTCGACAAACTTGATGAGCCTGTGTAGCAGAGGCTTGGTGTTTCCCTCGAGATCTGTCTCAAACCTCTTGAGCTGCTCATTCTTTGGTTTGACGCGAGTGTCATCGTAGTCGTCTTGATCGTCGTCGTCATCATGTGAGGCGCTTGCCTTTTTCGTTTGTTGTTTGGATTGTGTAGATTGTGTTGATGACTTCCTATTTATATTCTTCTTCATGTGATCTATCAGCATGTGATCATGATTGATATCTTTATCTTGTTGTTGTTGTATCTTCCTATTATTCTGTTGTTGATGCTGTTGTTGATGTTGTTGCAACTTGTTTGTCACTTTCAGTGATATACCATTGAGTAACTTCTCCTTATTAGTTGTCAATGGCTGCTTCTTTGGAATCTTCTGTCCACCGACACCAACATTGGACATTGGTGTTGTTGTACGTGGAAAAGCTATTGGCATTCTATCACTTCACTCGCTCAATTTTTGTATGTTGTGTTATGTATGTATGTATATACCTGCTGTACTTCTACAATGAATGAATGTGTCTTCACTTTCACCAATCTTTAGCAAGTTGAGTTGCTGTTGTTGGTTGTAGATGGAGTGCGAGAGAGAGTGACGTGTGAGTGCGTGAGTGAGTTGTTGGTGAGGTTGAAAGTCGAGTTGGACCAACAACTCGTCGTTTTTGCAATTTATTGCTTTTGTGGGCACAAGCGAACGAGTCAGCTTGGACAAAGTGCTAGACACAACCCTTGAGGTTAGGGCAAGGGTAAGGTAAGGCAGGATACAACTTGTTTGATTGAAGGAATGAATGAATGATCACAATATCTATATTGATCAATCAATCAATCAATGAACAAGAAATAATGAATGATTGAACGAATGAGGTAGAGGAGGCAACTGAGTGAAGGACTGACTGAATGACTGACTGACTTGATTAATTAATAATAATAAAGTTAATTGATGTATCCAGAGATCTGTGACTTATAAATTAATGAAAGGAACCTGGAACCGAGACAGGGTGTGTTGATGCCAAGTGCTTGAGCCTCGCCAGAGATCAGATCCTTGACACTCAGGTACTTGCTGTTGTTCACTTGGAATTTGCCGCCTGGACGATGTATCCTCTGATGTGAGATCACTCCATTCTTTGAAACCTTTGATATAGTATATGCGCCAGGCTCACTCGTTGAGAACCTAACCAAAAAGGTGCCCTCTGTCTTCTTATGCAATCTATTCTCGCTCTCTGATGTTGATATATCTCCATGGAACCATGCACATTCCATCAATTGTCTTATCTGTATAACATGTTTGATTGATTGTTTGAGTGAGTGTTTGAGTGTTTGGAATGGTTCCACTCACTGTGATTGATCAATCATCACTTACCTTATCTAATATTTGTGAACCATCATCCTTCAAGTTACCAAACCATGCCAAGACTTTACCAAACTGCTCCATGCTGACGACTTCTTCTTCTTGGCCACCGACACCTTTGGGCGGACTGACAATGATGGCCTTGAGACACTTGAAGTTGAGCTCGATCGTTGAGCCGTTGAGGTTGGGCGAGAACTGCAGCAGGTCGGACATGGACGGCGTCGACGCGTTGGTCAGGCCGACAAAGCTGGCAAAGATGTTGACAAAGTCCTTCCAGGTGACGTCGTCGGAATGACGGAAGTGGTTCTTCCACATGATTGCGCCGTACTCGTCGGGGATGGCGCAGTCGATGATGATGCCCTCGAGCGTCGAGACGATCTCGTTGAAGCCGGGACGCACCTCGTGTGATGGGTCCCAGCACTTTTGGATGAGATGTCGCAGTGCCAATGGGCAATCGTCGGGGATGGGCGGTCGGACGACCTTATCGCAGATGGCCGCCACAAACTTGTAGAAGTTATCAAACTCTGGGAACAACTCCTTCCTCGTGTATATCTGCCAGAGGACCAATCCAAAACTATACACATCGGCCTTCTCATTGAACATCTTTCCTTGTAACACCTCTGGTGCCATCCATAATGGGGTCTAACAGGAAGTTGATTGAATGAATGAGTGAATGAGTGAATGAATGAGGCCATCCGACATGTTGTCTCGCGTTCATACTACTTACACCTTTGGCACCATCTTGGCCATCTTTGAGGTTCTCACCTCTTTGTTTGATCTGTGATAGACCAAAGTCGCACACTTTGAGTGTTAGGTTGGAGTCGACAAGTAGGTTACTAGTCTTTAGATCTCTGTGAATGAATACTGGATTGGAAGAATGTAGCCATAGGACACCCAGTGCTGCATCCTTGGCCATCCTCATTCTAGTGATCAATGGCAACTTTATATTTGGATCCAGTAACAATGTCTCCAAATTGCCCTTCATCAACTCTGTACATATCATCAACTTGCCTGGCAAAGACGTGCAAGCACTATGATTGATTGATTGATTGATCGATCGTTGGAGAGTGAGTGAGTGAGTGATTGATGATCGTGTGATTGAATGATAACAAAGACGCGAGTCTTACCCAAGGAATAGAACGATGTTTGGATGGAATATCTTGCTCATGATAGCAACCTCCTTTCTAAAGTCCTTCAAAGTCTTCTCATCGACCTGTTTCAACATGACCTTTACAGCCACATCCTTCTGACGACATCTACCTTTATATACTGTTCCAAAGCTTCCTATAATGATTGAATGAATCATGTTTGAATGTGAATGAGTGAGTGAGTGATCAATCAATCAAGACGGCAATGAATGATCGATCATGTCATACCATCACCCAACATTGACTCCATTTGTATTTCATCTGGGAAGATCTCTGGTGGACCAGAGATATCTGGTTGATAACTGCTTGCCATCATCTGTTGTTGATGTTGTATGCTATATGTATGTTGTTGTTGACCTTCGTCTTTTCTCTTTTTCTGTACCTGTTGACTCATTTATATATTATGTGTCTTCTTTGTATTATATAATTAAATTAGTGTTGCGCGTGATCGTGTGATTGTGCGTATTATAAAGAATTGATTGATTGAATGATGTTGAATGAATGAAGTTAGATAGAGTGCGTGTGTGTGTTGTGTTTGTTCTTATCTTGTGTGTAAATATATATATAAATCAAACTACTTGAAAACGATTGAAAAAATAAATGTTTGTTGTTTGAAGAGGTCCACATTGATCCATTTTGGGATACTTTTTTGACTAACATCTACTTTTTTACAAACAATAGTTGCGTAACGTTGGACTTCATCATCAAAAAGACTCGACGATATGAGTTGTGTGGTGGAACACTCGACAAAAACATTATTCCATTTTTTTTATCTTTGAACTTGAGATGGGAAGAGCAAGGATGAAGAATGAATGAGGTGTGTGAGGTGTGTGGGTTTGTGGATGTTGAATTGACTTGGATGAATGAGCATGAGTCCATGTGTTGTGTGAAGTCCAAGTCTGTTATTATTATTAATCAATACAAACAAATAATATATTATCTATCTATATTTATATATATACATAATATAATCAAATAATGTCTAAAGGACAGAAGATCAATCTAAACGATTTGATGGCTCCCAAGTCATCAACGTTGCCATCAGCTCCAAAGAGGTATGACGATCAATCAATCAATCAATCACATAGACAGACACTAACAATAACAACCATGCTTGTATAATAATATATAATATGTAGTGTTTATGGAGAGGAAGACAATCAAGGTTATGGAGGCAGCAATGCATTCGATAGAAGTGGTGGTGGCGGTTATGGCGGTGGTGGTGGATATAACAGAGACAGAGATAGTGGATATGGCGGCGGTGGTGGTGGATTCAACAGAGACAGAGACAGTGGATACAACAGAGATAGTTATGGTGGCGGTGGTGGTGGTGGTTACCGTGGAGGCGATCGTCCACGTCCAACCTACAGCAGCCCATCAACTCCCCCAGTTGACAAGTATGTTATGTTTGACATCAATCAATCAAGTTCATTCAATCAATCAACAGATCACTTATTCAATCATTCAATCAATCAAACTCATTATAGGAACAAGGGACCATCTGTTCCAGAGGCAGACGACTTCCCAGCTTTGGGTGAGAAGCCAAAGAAGGCCCCAGCACCAAAGAGGGAGCCACAACAGCAGGGTCCAGGTCAACCCCAATCGAACAAATACGAGCCACCCGCATCAAGAAGCGGACCAAGATCAGACCCATTCGGTGGCGCAAAGCCAAGAGAATCACCTGTTCAGGAGCCAAGAGAGCCAAGGGGAGAGCCCAAGGAGCCAGGCACTACTGAGGATCGCATGTCGACCGAGAGGACCGACAGCCCACAGGAGCAGCAGCAGCAGAGAGACAGCGGCAACAGGGACAGCCGCGGCAGCCAAGAGCGCAGAGGTGGCGATGAGGGCTTCGACGGAGACAGGGAGAGAGACGGCGGCAACCGTGGCGGCTACGGCGGCGACAGATACAACAGAGGTGGCGGCGGCTACGGCGGCGACAGAGACAGCCGTGGAGGCGGTTACGGTGGCGGCTACGGTGGCGACAGAGACAGCCGTGGAGGTGGCTACGGTGGCGAGAGAAGATACGACAACAGAGACAGAGACAACCGTGGTGGAGACGGAAGCTACAACCCATTCAACATGGGCCGCAGGAATGACCGTGGAGGTTACGGTGGTGGCGGCGGCGACAGAGACGACAACCGTGGAGGCTACGGTGGTGGCGGCGGCGACAGAGACGACAGAGAGGGAGGATACAGCAGAGGTGGATACGGTGGTGGTGGCCGTGGAGGATACAACAGAGACGGAGACCGCGGTTACAACAGAGACAACCGCAGCAGCGAGGAGCGCAGAGGAGGCGGCGGTGGTTTCAGAAGCTTCGAGGACAGACCACCTGCACCCACCAGCAACGTTGACTCTGTCGATGACTGGAGATCAGGCCAGTCCGTCGAGACCAACGCCTTTAGAAAGACATCCAACCGTGGCGGCGACTTCCAATCCCGTGGCGGCGACTTCCAATCACGTGGAGGCGGCGACTACCAGCCCCGTGGAGGCTACAACAGACGTGGCGGTGACTATCAGTCACGCGGAGGTGGCGGTGGTGACTACCAGCGCCGTGATGGTGGCGACTACCAACGTCGTGGTGATGACGGCGGCGACCGTGGTGCTCCATTCCAGGGATCCGACAGAAGCGAGACCCAGCAGCCACAAAACGAATAAGCCCAACACAGACACAGAAAGGGGTTCGCTAACCTTCCAGCTGGAGTAGTAGAAGAGAGTTAGACGAGTAGAAGAGTGAGTTAGGCGTCCGTGTTCGTGTCGCCATCACTCTCTCTCTTTCTCTCTTTCCACAACAAGTTATTTATTTGCCCGATCACTCATAGCCAGAGCTTATCCAACAACTCATCCATACATCCATATTCAATCAATCAATCATTCCATTCATTCAATCAATCAATCAATTATTCAATCATCTTCCATTTCCTCTTCCCCAATTCATTAAACTACTTCCTTCCCCAAGCATGATTAAAGAGGAGGCCATGTCGAAGCTTCACACGTGTATGTATTCATTGAGAACAGAACAGATCATCTGTTCATGTTTGAATCGAGAGGACCTCTACTCCATGGTCAAGAGGTCGCAATACTCCTTGGGTACATTGTTGATGACGACGCGACCATCATAAGAGAGTGAGGCGAAATTGAAGCCACTCGATCCCCAACATACTCCATACACGCTGTCCTCATGCTCCTCGAATGTCTTGATCAACTTGTCTTCCTTGCGTTTGCTGTTGGATGTGATTGATTGAATGGTGGCGTGAGGTTAGTAAGTATCCATGTATCCACCGTGGCGCGCCAACACTTACTTCTTCTTTCCACTTGTTGGCTGTGGAGCTGGCTGGTCTGCGTTGTCACCACCTTCTTTGGCCTCGGATGTAACGGCCGAGGAGATGGTGTAGGCGTGCCAGAGCTTGACCTTGTGATCACTGCTCGATGTGATCACCAGCTGATCGTGATACTTGTTGTACTTGGCATTCCAGATCCAATGGTCGTGGCCGGCAAAGATGCGCAGTGGCTCCTTTGTCTGGCGCGTATCCCAGAACTTTAGTTTACAATCGTCGCCAGCCGACAGCATGTAGTACTGATTGTTGGGGTTGAAGTCAATGTCGCGGATCAGGTCCGAGTGCGCCTTGTCGATGGCGAACGACTCCTTGCCACTGCGGAAGTCCCATCCCTTAATATTAACATCATTGGCCGTAGCCAACTGATTGGCCTTGTTTGGGTTGATACATCCTGCCGTCAGCTTATTGAGACGGCCAAATGTTGTGAGTACCTACATGTGATTGATTGATCGTGTCGTGGTGAGTATGAATGAGTATGATGAGTGATGAGAGGGACAAGGACGATGGGACACGTACAGTTGGTGAGGAGGTAGTTATGTTGGACCAGAGACGTATCTCAGTGTCGTCCAGTGAGACTACGTAGTCGGATGAACCAGATGGATCGCATAGTATTGGTTTGATGTAACCTGTGTGACCTTTAAGTTCGCAGACCTCATCGAGTGCACTGTTCTCTGTATCCATACTCCATAATGACGCAGAGTACTTGGCGCCAGTGTTATAAACGGTGAATAGTTGATTGGCATCGAATGTACATGATGTGATGGACCATATCTCCTTTGGATGTGCGTATATCGCTACGCACTTTACACCTTCATTCTCTTTCTCTTCGATCAAACATATCTATTATAATGTTAGTGTTAGTTGCTAGTTGATGATGTTGATGATGATGAGTATGATGACGCACCTCATTGTCTTCTTTGAGTGCTTGTGTTCCGACAAGGAATCGATTTAGATCAGACTCTGCAGATACTTGTGATATGGCTCTTGATTTCAATGATAGACCATATACATTGGTTGCAGATGATTGATTAGCGCCACTATTATACATTGTTATATTAGTATATATATTATATTTGTTCGAGATTGAAGAGATAGTTTGATAAATGAAGTTGTTCATTCAAAGATCTTAGTGTTTTGTAGATTCATTTGGACTTTTGGGAACTTTGCTCAGGACCCAGGCTATTCAGAAGTAATAATATCAATGTCTTTGAGATATCCATGTATAATGGTTGATCATTAAATATAATATTTTTTAATGTAATCCAAATCATTATTATTAATATATTGATACCACATAAACTTTGGACAATACTAAAGTTCAACCATATAGACTGGGATAGAAATATTTAATAAGGTATTATTATATTATTTCACTATTCTTTATTCAACATGGAATGAAGTATTATCCATCATTATTAACAATAACAACAATAACAATTAAAAAAAATGAAATGGTTTGGTGTTTCTCTCTTGTTGAGCAAGGTCTTCACACTTTTTGTTTTGTTTGTTGTGAGAGAGAGTTGAAGAAAACAGTTGTGTTTGTATCTATCATTACACGTTCAATACAATATAATAGAATAGAGCGAGATGACATCAAAGAGAGCATTAGAAGATCATACTGAAGAGCCTAACAATGAAGAAGTCAATGCTGTTGAAAGGTCTGACAAACGACTGTAAGTAATGGCAACTAAATGCATGCGTTCTCCAACAAATGAGCAACGAAAGATGTTGTGCGAGTGAGAGTTGCGCAAAAATGTGGTTTTTTTGTAAATGTTTGGTTTCTCGCTCTTTCAATCAATCAATTAATTCAATCATTCAGAAGGAGTAGTATAAATAGTAATCCAGAGGTGGATATTGAATCAACCACCACATTAGAGAATGGTGGAACACTGGAATGTGGAGATATTAATGGACTAAAAGATGAGGAGGACCTGGAAAACAATGGATTAAATGGTGATGATGTGGATGATGGAGATGATGGAGATGATGATGGATATGATGATGGTGTAAAAGATATCCAGGAATTGGAGTTCCAAGATAATGATGAGGAAGATAGCGATGGTGACTATAATAGTAATGATAATAGTAGTGACAGTAGTAGTTTGGATAGTGATGAGTTTGACTCTGATGAGAAATCAAGATTGGCTAGTAGTGATAATGGTGACCTGGTAACAATGGCCAGGAGTTTAATACTGGAGCATATTACAAAAAATCGTCAAGCTGGTGTTGATCCAATCAAGTTTACCAAAGATTTGGGTTTTGTAAGTTACAAGTTATTGATCAACTCATCATGGGACTATTCCAATCACTAACTCACTCATTCACAATCAATCAATCAATCAATCAATCAATCAAACAGAAATTGGAGTTGGAAGAGGAAGAAGATGAATTATGGGATATTATTATATCATACTTGACAAGGAGGAGAATTGCCCTTCATCTCTTTTTTAATTTCATAAAATATCAATCATTCAGTCGACCATTCAGGTAAGTTATTAACTGGAATAATTCCAGCCCAAGCACCCATGCCCCAGCCCCAAGCTCACTCACCCCTCCATCCCACCCATCAACAGGAAGAAACTGGAACACATAAACACATTCGAAGATGTTGTCAAACTGATATCAACTTGTAAGAATATAGTAATTGTTACTGGCGCAGGAGTTAGTGTGTCTTGTGGAATACCAGACTTCCGATCGGAAGGCGGAATCTACCCAACGATCAAACAAAAGTATGATCTGCCAGAGCCCGAGGCACTGTTTGATATCAGATTTCTACGCGAAGATCCCCGCGCATTCTTTGAGTTTGCTCGCGAGATCTACCCTGGCAGCCACAAGCCCTCGCCCACCCACTACTTTATCAAGCGGCTGGCGGACCGCGGCCAGCTCCTGCGCAACTACACACAGAACATCGACACCTTGGAGCATGTGGCTGGCGCCGC